AGGTCCTATGTACACATTGAGGTGAACGTAAAAGATCCCTTAGCAGTTGGAATTCGATATAAGAGTAGGCCGTAGCGCCGCTGTCAGGTCAAAATTTCCCTCATCGCACACTGTATGGCGTATGCCCGTCTTCATTAGCCCAGTTCAGAGCAGAACAGTAGGATGTTAAACCCCATTTCATTTGTCTTGTGGAGCGTTAGTTTGTGACTGGAATCAACCGTACATTAAGCTCGGTGGAAACCACACGGTTGTTCTACATATAGTTTAACTTGTTTTTTTGTCCCCCGCCTTTCGAAGAAAGCAGGGGACTATTAAAATGGGTTCGTCCGTCTGTCTGTCCGTCTGTCCGTCCGTCTGTCTGTCCGTCACACTTTTTGGGACACAATAACTCTCTTCCTAATTGAGCTAGAATGTTCAAACTTGGTGTATGTGTTTATTAGGTCAATGCCTTGATGGGGTTCGAAGATGAGCATTTTCCGCTTAGGGTAAGCAGAGATAAGCAATTTGATTGGTTGATGCTTTGGGACACGATAACTCTCTTCCTAATTGGGCTAGAATGTTCAAACTTGGTGTATGTGTTGATTAGGTCAATGCCTTGATGGAGTTCGAAGATGAGCATTTTCCGCTTAGGGTAAGCAGAGATAAGCAATTTGATTGGTTGATGCTTTGGGACACGATAACTTTTAATTGAGCTAGAATGTTCAAACTTGGTGTATGTGTTTATTAGGTCAATGCCTTGATGGAGTTCGAAGATGAGCATTTTCCGCTTAGGGTAAGCAGAGATAAGCAATTTGATTGGTTGATACTTTGGGGCACGATAACTCTCTTCCTAATTGAGCTAGAATGTTCAAACTTGGTGTATGTGTTGATTAGGTCAATGCCTTGATGGAGTTCGAAGATGAGCATTTTCCGCTTAGGGTAAGCAGAGATAAGCAATTTGATTGGTTGATGCTTTGGGACACGATAACTTTAGTTCTAATTAAGTGAGATTGATGAAACTTGGTGTATAGTTTCATTACAGTAATACCTTGACTAAGTTTGATAATGAGCATTTTCTGCTCAGGGTAAGCAGCAATTTGATTGGTTGATACTTTGGGGCACGATAACTCTCTTCCTAATTGAGCTAGAATGTTCAAACTTGGTGTATGTGTTGATTAGGTCAATGCCTTGATGGAGTTCGAAGATGAGCATTTTCCGCTTAGGGTAAGCAGAGATAAGCAATTTGATTGGTTGATGCTTTGGGACACGATAACTTTAGTTCTAATTAAGTGAGATTGATGAAACTTGGTGTATAGTTTCATTACAGTAATACCTTGACTAAGTTTGATAATGAGCATTTTCTGCTCAGGGTAAGCAGAGCGATACGCAATTTGATTGGTCGAGACTTTGGAAAACAATAACTCTCCTACTTTGATTGTTAGACTATAAGTAAAGATATACTGTTTGATTGTTCAAGATAATTTGTGATAAATTTATATGTGTCCTCTAATTATTTTCCTATTTCGGCAGGGGACATCAGCCTCACTGTTGGCTTGTTACATATGTAATTAAATGTAATTTGTATGACTGGTGATAAGCATGAAAAAGAGAGAGAGAAATGGGGTTTAACGTCCACTCGACACAAACTAGGTCATTTCGGGACTAACATATGGTATAATTTTATTTCAATAATTCGCTTGCGCATAGGGGTCTTTAGCAGTGGGAGGAAACCGGAGGACCTGGAGAAAACCCACGAGGTTGGACAGGCGAAGCATGAAAAAACAGTTGATAACGATTAGAGAATACTTGTTGAAAGTTGTGCTTTTAGAATAGTGATTGTTTCCCATAAAATTTGTGGTTTGTTAATGTGTTTCTCAATCGCTAAATGTCACTGTCACTGTTGATATTTATATGATATATGCTAATTATTCAAGCCATTATTTTCTGGGAGCCGCAGTGGTTCACTGATTGAGATATTGGCTCGCTAATCAAGAGGTCTCAGGTTCGCTCCTGGACTTTGCTGAGAAAGTTCCTCATTTCATTTCATTATTTCCCATGTCATCAAGTGGGGGATCATGTGGCTAAGTGGGTAAGACACTGGCTCGCTAGCCTGGAGGTCGGGTGTTCGGTCCCTGCATTGGCCAAGAAAGTTCATCCAGATTTTCCAGCGTTGTTTCCCCTTGTCAGTGATGCAGGACGGAGGGCCTGACAAGAACAGCTGTCTAGTCATTCGGATGGGATGGAAAACCAAGGTCCTGTGTTCATATTGGCGTGCACGTAAAAAAGATCCCTTGGCAGTTGGAATTTCGATATAAGAGTAGGCCATAGCACCGCTGTCCGGACAAAATTTTCCTCATAGCACACTGTATGGCATATGCCCATCTTCATTAGCCCAGTTTAGGAGCAGAACAGTAGGACGTTAAACCCCATTTCATTTCATTTCATGTCATCAAGTCGTTTAATCTCTTTAAAATAATTTATCTTTCAATTGTGCCATAAAATCTATTTTTAGTAGTTGAAGTAAATATTGAAACAAGTAAAAATTATATTATCTCTGATCAATGTTCTGTTAATATATTTTACATGTTTGGTGTCCTCCGAAATTTATTAATATCATTTTAGTAGGGTGCAAGTTTTGATTTACAAGCTGATGTTTGAATGATTTGATTTAAGACTGTTTTTAGATTGCTACACAAGTCATTTAGTTTGCTTTTATTACCCAGACAAGATGATATTACGACATTTCTATATTTAGAATCTTACTCAACTATCCAGTGATTGTGATTTGTAACTGGAAATTCCCATTACATCTTTCATGTAGTAATTACGAATGAAATGTTGAAAGTGACCTTGAGTATTAGAATTGTCACTAGAGTTCCCCTTTTCAGTTGAATTATTAAATATGTAATATTCTTAATTAGTGTTTGAAAATAGATCTTGTAAAAGGACATCTTATTAGAAGTGATCACTTAGATTAAATTTGACAAGTGTTTCTGAATCCCCAGGTATTCCAACCGTCCACAGTCACTGCACGGCTGTTTTTTCCTCTGAACACTTTTTGAACATTAGGGGTCAGATTCAAACAAGCATCTTGAAAATAATATTTAAATATATAGCATCTCATACCTCACGAAAAATCTTGCTAATATTATCAATATTCATAATCCTTCGGGGAAAAACACTAGGATCTGGAAGAGTTGTTATTTAACTCGCGTTCTGGATGATGTGAGGGATTAGCCAATGAAACAGTCTGTTACGCCACGGAACTGTGGGTAAGGCACTAGAAACATCAACGCTGATTGGTTACCCAAATGTCTAATGTCATAGGGTAAAAAGATGCTTGTATGACCTCTGACACGACCTTCCACTACAACCGATAGATCTTCATGTAATGTAGGCCATCGAAAGTATAAAAAAAAAACAGAACGAAATATAGATCTGTATTTTAATCAGATTGTATAATTTGCCAAATTAGTATCTGGTGATACTCAAGCAAAAATTACCCTCCCCCTCCCCCACTCCCCAAGAAAAATCATCTAGTCCAGTATGCCTATCCCCCCCCCTCCTCCTCCCCCTCTCCCCACTCCCCCCCCCAAAAAATCATCTAGTCCAGTATGCCTATGACCAGCCCAACCCATCCATTTTGGATCTGTCATTATGATTTACACATGGTGAACAAAATTATGAAAATGTTAACTTGCCTCAAATTTCAATAGTTCACTTGAATACCAATAATGATGTCAAAATTAGGGTTCTAAAAATAGGATTAAAGTTCTGTAAACAGTCTTACAGACTCTTATTCCAATATGATATCATTCCCTTATATAGAAATTGATTTTTGTTGAAATAAATTGTACAAGGTTGTTTGTATTGCCGCAGTAATCGTTCGATCAGATTTACTTTATAGACGGTACAGTGTATTCATAAGGTAAGTGGTAGGGCTACTATAAAGATTAATATTTATGACAAGTTGGCTATAACCTGGATAACCTTGTTAGAGTCCGCGGATGATAAATAGGAAGATAAGTTAGGTTTCCGATAGATCTCAATCTAGTGAGATGTTTCTGTTAACTGACGTATATAATTGGATGTCAGGATAAATCAATCATAAAGTATGCATTGATCTATTTTCTTAGCATCAAAATCATCTTGTTATCGGATGTCAAACAAAGTTAAGGCAAGGATATTGAAATGGGCTCCATCCAAATTCTCTCCATATCTTGTTTCCGCTACATAACTCATAAATTATTTAAGATATCTTTATGAAACTGACTTACTTATTATTATAGTTGTGCATTTATCGTGTTAGGAAGTTCTTGAGTAAAATGATTTTCATGTTTCCAATTTGACTTTGGTATACAAGGGCATGGTATATTAATGAGTCTTTTGTTTTCAGTGCTTGACCGTGTATCATTGAGATCATTGCTGGGGGAGGGAGGTCAAGAACCTACCTTAGACCATAAAAAAATATGCCATCTCGAGTAAATGGTAAATTTGGATATTGAGGGAATTTGTTTTTTGTATTTCAGAGGAGAGCCAAAAAAAATCTCCCCTCAATCAACAAATTGAAAAAATCGATCCCCTAAAAAAGCTCTCCCAGTTTCGATAAGAAGAATGATTTAGAAATTAAGGAGAGTGATTTAGAAATTAAGGAGAGTGATTTAGAAATTAAGGAGAGTGATTAGTTCTGTGTGTGGGAAATGGTTCTGAAGATCAATAACTGCATGTAATGGGGTCACTCCTGGTTTCATAAATGATAATAAACCCCCAATGACTTTGTAAAGGAGAGCGATTTTCAATTTTAAGGGGTGGGAAAATAACCTCCCCTCGGTCAACATTCAGGTGAGCGGCAGGCACACGAGAGTGAACTTTCGCCTTAAAAAACAATGACTGCATTGGTAATCATAACAAAACAAATTTGAATTAAAAAAATTTCTCTCCTTCAACTATTCAAGTGTAATGGTTTGAAAAATTTGTAATTTAACATCATATTAAAAGATGAAATGTTTTCTTGTTTTCAGATTTCACGGTACTTTAAATCGTGATGAAACTGATCGTCTCTTAAGTCAAGGTGATGGTTGTTATCTAGTCAGAAAGAGTGAAAGAGCACCAGATGCATTTACTCTCGCCATTAGGTTAGTATAGTACAAAATAATCTAGACTACCGAAAGACCAGATCGACCAGGAGAGTGTGCTTAGTCAATTGGATGGGATCAAAAACTAAGATATCAGATTCATTGTATACTATAAATAGACAGTGACACCTAAATGACATGAATGGGTGGGGGGGGGTATTATTGAATGGATTAACACATGCGCTTTAGATAGTAAGATCTGCCATTGTGTCAAGTCACATGGTTTCGATTCCCCACTTGTATGTGACAGATAGTACGGTCGCCTGTCCAGCCACATGGGTTTTCTCCAGACCCTCCGGTTTCCTCCCACATCTAAAGACCCTGTACGCACAAACAAATGACCTAGTTTGTGTCGAGTGGACGTTAAACCCCATTTCTTTCTCTGTCTCCCCTTTATTGACATAAGCACTGCATAACTAAACTATAGTATCCATTGGTTATATACACAGGGTCACAGAAATGTAGGACTGAATTACTTTGAAGATGGAATGGTGATAATTTTCAGTTCTGTTGAGTAACTTATGTTTCAGATAAAAATTGTCATCCAAGGTTTATTCCTACTTGTGGTACTTCAGAATTTTATGTTAGATTCAGGTATAATAAGAACTTCTAATCTGGAAACCTCTAAGCACCTCTGTGGATATCACATCAAAAATGGAATATTTCTTAAATTTTGATTTCAATATGTCATTATCAAACCTGGAAATAACCCACTTATCACAGACAATGTCAGCCATTGTCGGGGCCAATTACTCTGGTGCCTGTCTGTCATTTTGTCTTGTCAAAATTTGTATTTTTTAAGTATTTTTATCAACATTTTAAAATGTCAAGCATATAGATAAAAATGTCAGGTAGCAGAGTGATTATTCCCTAAAATTCCTGACCAGTGGATATCACATTAAAAATGGAATATTTCTTAAAATGTGGGCAGTTGTTTATCCCTACTTTATTACAGCTATGTCCATTATATGCAACTTGGGTTTTGTTTCAGGTGATATAAGTATAACATGGTTAGAAATGGCACTTCCAGTTGACAGTCTCTAGTTACAAATGAAATGTAATGGGGTTTAATATTACTACTGTTTTGCTCTGATTGGGCATACACCATACAGTGTGTGCTATAAGGGAAATTTTGCCCGGACAACGGCACTACGGACTACTTATGTGCAGGCCAATTTGTACATGGGACCCGTTTTTTGTCCCATCACTGACAAAGGGAAACCATGCCGGAAAATCCTGATGAACTTTTTTGGTCAACACCGGGAGCAAACCCGCAACTTCCATTCTAGTTTGGAGGGCCTGACAAGGACAGCTGTCTAGTCGTTCGGATTGGACGAAAAACCGAGGTCCTGTGTACACATTGGCATGCACGTAAAAGATCCCTTGGCAGTTGGAATTTGATAAAAGAGTAGGCTGTACCAAAGCTGCCCGGGCAAAATTTCCCTCATAGCACACTGTATGGAGCAGAACAGTAGGCCGTTAAACCCCATTTCATTTCATTTCATTTCCATTCTAGTTGCAAAATGTGACTTGGTATCAAAAGGTTTATTATCATCATTTAAAAAGATTGTTTCTTAATTTTTTTGCAGGTTTAATGGTGAAACAAAACATTTTAAGTTATATTATGAAGACAGCAAACATTATGTTGGAGAGAAGCGATTCGATACCGTTCACGATTTAGTTGAAGACGGACTTATTCACTTTTATATTGAATCTCATGCAGCAGACTATATATCAACATTATCAAAAGAATCAAACTATGAAGAATCACCTTACTTAGCTTATAGTGCCAAACGTAAAAGACTGGTTAATCATAGATCGCGACCCGCATCATCTAGAAGACTGGATTATACAGACAGTCCTCTTGCATCAACTGATGTACCGGTAAGTGAAACTAGACTCAGACAATACAGAGAGAAATATAAATTTTGTTTAACATCCACTTAACACAAACTATGTCATTTTGGGACTAACATGTGGCATCTTTACATCTTGCTTGCTTGCATGGATCATTAACAATAAGGGGAAACCACTCAACACAAACTAGGTCATTTCAACAATAAGAGGAAACCATGCAACATGAACTAGGTCATTTCAACAATAAGAGGAAACCATGCAACACAAACAAGGTCATTTAGCAAAAAGAGGAAACCATGCAACCCAAACTAGGTCATTTAGCAAAAAGAGGAAACCACTCAACACAAACTAGGCCATTTTAGCACTAACATATTGTATATATTAAGCTGGATTTTTTATCACTGTCATGGCTGACTTTTATTACTGGTTGTTCAAGACTATAATATAATCTCAATCAAACCAGCCAAATGTATCTCATTTGAAAATTATATAAAAGGATATTTTTCTGTTTCCGAAACACTTGCTTTAGGCAATCAAATGAATGTTTTGTATACAATGACAAATCCATTGAAAGCTTTTGATGCCATCTCAATCTCCAAACTAATTGTTTTACAAAAAAGTCAGAGTATGCAAATAGGTCAATTCCAAATAATTGTTTGCAAATAAGAACATTTTCTTTTTCACATTGTAATTACAAGCAAATTTCTGCTAAATTTGGAAAGAAAAAGGCGTATTTTATAAGGAAGTATCTGATCATGTATCACTTTGTCATGTGAGTCATGATCACATCTTGAATGATTGTGGTGAGTTGATTTATTTTTACCTATTGTGGCGGCTGCGCTTGTGCATCTCATTATTAAGAAAATTCAATCAATGTCATTTAACTTTTGAAGTGTTCACTGTTCACATCAAATGAATGAACAGATAAGCCTCCATGGACTGTTCTACCTGCAGATATGTCACTCACCTATTCTTATGCCGAAAGTGATGTCTTAGCCACAGTGGTGAAGTTCATTCATTTATTTTTGGGATTATGTTATTTTATAGAATACAGTACCAACAAAAATAATTCTTTTTCTTTGGTAAAATACCTTTGATTTTGTTGGTACCTTGTCAAAAAATTGTTTATGAGTCAGTAATATGTTTTTATTGGAATCGATATTGATATTGTTTTTAGAATTGAGTAATTGTTTCTCTATGCTGTTTTCATCTCTATTATTAAATGTTTATATATATTTGTTTTGATGATGTCATTATATTGTGATCTTTGGACAATGGGTGAATTTATGACATATTATTATGACTATGCTGTGGGTTTTCCCAAATACTGGTGACATTTTAACTTTTTATTTACTACAAGGAACAAGTCTATTTAATTCCTCAAAATGACGGTGGTAAGAAGTTTTTAATTTTGTTGTCTTGATAGTAGTGTGCGTTTATTTCAGAATGATTGTGATTAGTGTTTGAGCGTATGGAGTAATCTACGGTACCGGAATGCCTACTGATGTTACATAGAGGGAAGTTGATGTGAGATCGGTGTGAAATATACACCTACCTAGATATGTTCCGTGAGCCTCGTTATTTATCAAGTTATTGAATATATTATTTTTGTATTTCCAGGATACGGTAGCTGAAGAAATAGAAAATGTAGATGTTAATGATGATGATGATTCTACGACAGATTGGAAAGACATAGAAAAACCACATTGTTTTAAGGTATATACAGGTCACAATTCTATGGAATACAATTACTGCTTATTACTGATTGACCTTTTAACTAGGCTTCTGTAATCTTTAGGGGGGTTGGATGGCCGAATCGTTAGCACGTGCGTGCTGTATCATAAGGTCTGTCATTGAGTGAACAGGTGTGCGTTCGAATCCTCGGTTGTAGGTGACAAAGAGTAGGGTCGCCTGTCCAACCTTGTGGGTTTTCTCTGGGTCCTCCATTTTCCTCCCACTGCTGAAGACCCCTACGCGCAAGAGAATTATAGCAATAAAATTGAACCATGTGTTAGTCCCAAAATGACCTAGTTTGTGTCGAGTGGACGTTAAACCCTATTTCTCTCTCTCTAGTCTTTATCAAACAGTGATAAAATATAAGGAGACCATATATACAGGTAAAAAACAATACTTGGTTAATGCTGACCAACCAGAGACACACTTCTAATTACCTTGAAGGAAACCTAACTTGATTAACGTCATATTGTTTTAAAGTAGTTATATATTTCAAATAGTAGCGACATTGATGTGTGGGGAAAATACAGTTTCATTGTGTAAAAATAAAGCCTTGTGCTATTTATGAATGGAGGGGCGACAGTAGTCGAGCTGTATAGTAGTAATGGTTAAAAGCTCCCACTTGTTTCTGTGTTCAAATTTTTGGACAAACTCAAATTTCTTAAGGCTTATTAGTCCACGCTAAACTCAATTTTTTTATGGCTTATTGCTCTACGCTAAACTCAAATTTTTTATGGCTTATTGCTCTACGCTAAACTCAAATTTTTTACGGCTTATTAATCCACGCTAAAATGTACTTCTATTGATTATTTAACAACATGATTAAAGATACATTATGTAAGATTTAGATAAAGAGCTAGCCATTCTTGCTTTAATCGTTCGAAAATAGATAATGTAAAATGAATAATTTGAAAATTTCATTCAAATTACTCTATTGCGAGCAAAGAGTTTGACAAGACATGTACAATAATTGCAACCACCGTACTGGTTGTTCCAAGCTAAGTCTCGTTCCACCATTTTTAAATTAAATTAAAATATGGCTGAACTATTCTAATCTATTTAATATCGGAGAAATCCGATGCCATCGAGAGTTGATTATTGCCTGGTTCATTTAATTAATGTCTAATTATATTAATAATTTAGAAAACATTTCAGGCCTAAAGAAAGACCTGCAATAGGCAGATTTAGCTCTTGCATAATGTATGTTAATTTTAACACATAAAATGATAACAATAGTTCTTACACCAGAAACACTGATTCTATTATTGATGTTATCATTTCAGGTTCAGAATTTTATGGGACTACATTGGTGTGATTTTTGTGCTAATTTTATGTGGGGTTTGATAGCTCAGGGTGTCAAATGTCAAGGTAAGCTATCTTTAAATTTAAATATGGTTTTAGCACATACTTTGGAAAGGTTTTATATTTATACTATTTTGATTTTAATATAGTCTGTGTATAAAAATAGGGACAGAGAGAAATGAAATGAAATGGGGTTTAACATCCTACTGTTCTGCTCCTATACTGGGCTAATGAAGACGGGCATACGCCATACAGTGTGCTATGAGGGAAATTTTGCCCGGGCAGCGGCACTATCGCCTACTCTTATATCGAATTCCAACTGCCAAGGGATCTTTTACGTGCATTCTAATGTATACACGGGACCTCGGTTTTTCGTCTCATCCGAAGGACTAGACAGCTGTCCTTGTCAGGCCCTCCGTTCTGCACCACTGACAAGGGGAAACCACGTCGGAAAAGCCAGATGAACTTTCTCAGCCAATGCAGGGATCGAACAGGGACAGAGAGAGAAATGGGGTTTAACGTATACTTGACACAAACTAGGTTATTTTGGGACTAACATTTGATTCGATTTTATTTCAATAATTCGCTTACGTATAGGGATCTTTAGCAGTAAGAGAAACCCAGAGGACCCAGAGAAAACCCACAAGGGTTGCATGACCCGTTTGTATATAAAATACAAAATTTAGAAAAAAAAAAATACCTTTTCATTTATTACCACATCACATATCTTAAAAAAAGACAATAAAAATTTGAACTGCTACTAAAAAAGCTTTATAGCCTTGGGCACTGGATTCACTCAACTGATAGATTTTTGTCTGTTTATAAATAAAATATTTTTTATCTTGCTTCTTTGATGATGTACTTTCAGTGTGAAAATCTACCATTTAAGATCTATACACTTCATTTTTCAAAAAAAATATATATATATTGTTGTTATTTGAGAAAGTTGTATTATAACCCACAAAAAGCAATCAAAATAGCTGGAAATTTGAAGCACTTAATAACATACATTTAACATGATATTTTAGATTGTGGTTTTGGTGCCCACAAGAAATGTTCGGAAGCTGTACCGAATGATTGTATGCCTGATATGAAATATGTGAAGAGAATCTTTGGAGGAGATCTAACAACAGTAGTTAAAGCTCAGAAATCACCAGTACCTGTGATAGTAGAAAAATGTGTCAAGGAAATAGAAGCAAGAGGTATTTACTTTACTTTATATATCCCATTACATGTAAGGAGCAATTACATTACTTTATATATCCCATTACATATATGGAGTGATTACATGACTTTATATATCCCATTACATATAGGGAGTGACTACATTACTTTATATATCCTATTACACATATGGAACAATTACATTACTTTGTATATCCCATTACATATAAGGAGTGAATACATTACTTTATATATCCCATTACATATAGGGAGCGACTACATTACTTTATATATCCCATTACACATATGGAGCAATTACATTACTTTATATATCCCATTAAATATAAGGAGTGACTACATTACTTTATATATCCCATAACATGTAAGAAGCGATTACATTACTTTATATATCCCATTATATATATGGCTGATTATATTACTTTATATATCCCATTACATATAAGGGCGGGTTGGATAGCCGAATGGTTAGCACATGCGCACTGTATCATAAGGTCTGTCAATGAGTAAGTTGGCGTGGTTTCGATTCCCTGGTTGTACGTGACAAGGAGTAGTGTCGCCTGTAGAACCCTGTGGGTTTTCTCTGGGTCCTCTGGTTTCCTCCCACTGCTAAAGACCCCTACGCACAAGCAAATTATTGAAATAAAATTAAACCATGTGTTAGTCCCAAAATGACCTAGTTTGTGTTGAGTGGACGTTAAACCCCATTTCTCTCTCTCTCTCATTACATATAAGGAGCGACTACATTATTTCATATATATCCCATTACATATAAGGAGGAACTCAATTACTTCATATTTATCCAGTTTCATGTAAGGAAACTAAACACATTACATGTAAGGTTATTTTTAATATAGAAAATGTGCACATCACATATAAGGATACCTTTAATATAAGAAATATATGTAACTTCCTTCCAAATAATTAAAAATTTGCCAAAAACTTGTATAAAATAATGATTGATCAGGTAACGTAATATTTTAAGCATGCCAGGCATACCTCTTTCAGGACCAATGTTAGGAGCCGCATAACTTAACTAGCACAGGGCCACATTTGTCCTAAATCCGGCACTGTTTACCAGTGATTTGAGAGTCTAACAAGGAGAATATGGAATGTGTGGAAAAACCTTGGTCCCGTATATACCATTATTGTCCATTGGCAACATACCTGTTTTCATTATCCTGGTATATGATAACATATATAACACTTTCTCTTTGTATTATTCAGGTTTTGAGAATGAAGGTTTATATCGTATAGCTGGTTTCCATGACGATGTGGAGGCTGTTAGAATGGCATTTGATAAAGGTAGGCAAAATGTTTTTTTAAAACTAAATTTAAGCATAAAATTCTTGAAATTCAGTTATTATTGGAAGCATTTATTATTGATTTAAAATCCAGTGTATTAAGAGGCAGTAAATTAAATACTTTACAGTTCTAATTTATTGTTAGTGTTTTCTGTAAATTTGATAAAAATAATATGATTCGAATATTTGATTGCTATTCAAATATTCGATTGTCAAATTATTCAATTTTCTGTAGACTGTCATTATTTCAAATGAAATTTTCTTTATCTGTTTCTTGATTTCATTGAATTAATATTACTGAATACTTCATAGGGATGAAAAGGTATATCAAATTCAATTAGTTTTAAGTGACAACAAAATAAGGGATTGGGGGTTTACCATGAATCAATTGTGATTATTGGAAAAAATCATGCAGACTTTGAAATTATTTCACAATATTTTTTCTGCAGATGGTGAGAATGCTGATATTGGACCAAACAAGTATGATGATATAAACACTATAACCAGTGCTCTCAAACTATATTTTCGTTTATTACCCATACCACTGATAAATTTTGATGTGTATAAACTATTGATAGAAGCTATAAGTAAGTTCTATTTATATCTTTTGATGTTTATTGACTATTATAGATGCTCTAAATAAGTTCTATTTATATCTTTGGAAGTGTATTGACTATTGATAGATGCTATAATAAGTTCTTTTAGTTGTTATGATTTGCAATTTATATTTAGAAACATACACAATTTGAAATTTAAATATTTTAAAATGTACCTACAATTATTTTCAAAATTTAATATAGCCAAATCAATTCAATTTTTAATTCTTCAAAACTTTAATTTGTTGTTTTTGAATTATTAATGTAACATCAATTCTAAAGCCACTACCATTTTATATTGTTTGTTTTTCAGAACGTGATGATCCTGAGTCGGCTCAAATTAAACTAATTAAAGAACTTGTATCTCGACTACCTCTTGCTCATTATCAAACTTTAAAATATCTGGGAGCTCATCTTATTAGGTAAATTATCCATACTCTTACTTTCTTCATCAATTATATAGACTTTAAAATAAAGCTTCTCTTATTAGGTAAATTATCCATACTCTTTCTTTCTGCAGAAATTATATATAGACTTTAAAATATATGACAGCTCATCTTATTAAACATACATTATGCAAGAGCTAAAAATGCCAATTGCACTTCTTTCTTTAGGCCTGAAATGTTATCTAAATTATTAATTAGACATTAATTAACTTATCCAGATCATAATCAACTCTCGATGTCATCGCTAGCCTGCAATGTTTATTGGATTAGGTTCCAATTTGCTGTTTGACTTCCATTCATAATTTAATCATGAAATGGATCATCGTGACTATATTTTTTTCGTACCGACTTTAGTAATGATGATCGAGGCTAGGCCGAAAATTCAATCGCTAAAATCTCAGTTCAGAGTAGATCAATTTGACTGAAATTTTCAGCAAATTCCCTTTACATTATCTAGTTTTTAACTATTATAGTGAGAACTGCCAGCTCTGTATCTAATCTTCCATAATGTATCTTTAAGTAAATTATCCATACTCTTTCTTTATCTGGCTCAGTATGGTACTATTTCACTAACCAGAAGGTCGTCGGTCCAATCTTAGTATTATCCAGTCGGGTTTCTCCTTGTCGGTGGTACTGGATGGATGGCCTGGCAAGGAAAAGTGTGTAGTCATTCAGATGGTGTGAAAAACCGAGGTCTACCATGCACAAATCTGTGAACACATAAAAGAACCCTTGGCAGTTGTAATTTGATGTAAAGTAGACGAAAATGCCGCTGTCTGGGCAAACTTTCCCGCAAAGCACACTACACTTGTGTTGGTCTTCATTACCCTGGTTGGTGTAGGACAGTAGGCTGTTAAACCCCATTTCATCCTATTTATACAGAAATTATATATACCTGTTTTCATGATTTTACAATCTGCAATGAAATCCTCTGAAATATCAGACTATATACCAGTGATTGTATCATTTCATAGATATAATGAATTGGTCCTCCATGATTTTTCATTCTTAATCATGGCAGATGGAGAACAGTTTTGAATTTAAAGACAGAAATGTTTGCTTGTCATATGTGATACATTATAATTATGTAGGACATGACCCAGGTTCTTAATTGACTAATTAAATTCGGCCGCAGCTATTTGATGTTTGAAATGGCTGATTGATAAAACAATGAACTGGTCACCATGGTATCATAAATCAATTTACTTTTTGCTCGATAATAAAGAGTTGTTCATTATAATCTTTTAGAGGCATTTAGTAACTGGATAGAGCAATAAATTGTAACACATACTTATGCCATGGACGAACAATTACTGATGTATTTAGGCGATGTTTGGACTTGCTTGAAAACGTCCAGAGAATACTCTTCGAAACGTCGCCTAAATAAATCAGTAACTGTTCTTCCATAAGTATGTGTTATATAGTTTAGTTGATTATTACTTGTTCATTAAGAAAGTCAATCACATGACATCAAATTCACACAGGTTTCACCATATACAACAAACCAAGAAAACCTAACTAAATAACTAATAACCTAACTAATAATCTTAATACATTTTTTTAATTTCAGGGTCACAGAACACAAGAAAAAAACTCTAATGAATGCTGAGAATCTGGCTATAGTGTTTGCTCCGACATTGATGCGTCCATTGGAAACCGACCCCATGGTTAGTCTCATGGCGGCCAAATATGAACAGAAAGCTATGGAATTTATTTTAGTGCATTTTAAAGATATATTTGGGAAATGAACCAAACATTGTGTTTCTCCGCTTGTTTTGTATTTATTTATTTTATTTTAATCACGAGGAAGAATGAGACAGTTAAATTGAATAAATAAAAAAAGATATTTTTTGAACAAAGAGAAGAGAGGTTGAGCGATGCATGATGAATATTTAATTTTGTGAATTCTGTTTTTCTACTCTTTAATATTATATAAATATTTTATTTAGCGATTTACAATTCAGTTGTTGACATAATCACACATTTCTATTTTCTTTTTTAAAAATAAAATAAAAAATAACAACCATTCTGTCAGATCTTAGACGTTTTGATAATATTCCATGGAAATAATCGGAAAAGGACATTTTTTTTTTCTTCGGAAAAAGAGCATTTAAACCACCATTGATTATGTCTTATTTTGGAATTTACCCTTCAATTTAATTTTAAAGTTGATTTTATGAAGACACGAAAGTTTAAAAACTCAGAAGTTTATAAATATGTGTTCTATAAGCATATCATGTCTCATGCACAGTACCCAATTTATTTCACTTTTTACACGTTATCTATTAATGGAATTAAATTTTAAAAAAAAGAGATGATCTGATTATTCCTCACATCCATCTTAGAATTATGGTCACAATGTATACTCTTCAAAAAAGTAGGGGATATTGAAATGCAAATATCCTTGCAAGGTTGTGATATGATAAATAGTCATGGACACTTGACATGCTTTGTTTGAGTGTATGTTCACAGATGAAGAACTTATCGCCCCAACAGAACCACTTAGCTTCACATGCGACACGCAATAGCGCCATACACGTGGGAGGGGTTGTCAAATTTGACACTTCAAGGAAGGGTTGATGAAAACTGCTGCGTGCTGGTTTATCTATCCATGTTTGCTTTCCTATCAGTTCTTGCATAAGATTTACTGTTTAGTGTATCTTTGCTTTAGTGTGTTACGTTTAATGTTTAATTTGAGCGGGAGCAATTACTCATTATTAAGACAAAAATAAAAAATGTCGATTTTCACTTTCTCTTTGCGAGTGAATTGGGGCTGTCAGATAAGCCGCCCATATGAACTGTTTATGTTCATGTGTAGGCAATTGGCCTGTTATTAACATACACTGGTTACCTCTAATAAATACAGCAGTGCATTTCTGCAGTTTTGTATTGTTTCTGAATATCCCTTACTTTTTTTTTTGAAGAGTATATTTTAGGGGATACTCGATTGAATGTTCCGGAATTAAATTCTCTCAATTCCATAAATAGTGTCAATTGAGTGAAAAGGAGAATTTCGGAGTACAACACATGTGCCGACTGCATAAAAAATATCTCAACCAATCATGACAGCTGAAACATATTTGTTACTTAAAATACATCACAATTCTACTCACACCACCTCAGCTGTCTGGACTGACAGAACTGTAACAGGGCTGAATTCCATATCACTTGATTGCAATTCTGTCATTTCTGGACGTTCTGGACTGACAATCGAGCACCCCATTGTATCACAACAAAGGGCAATAACTCTTGATCATATTATAATTGTATAAAGAACCACATGTTACTTGAAGTACGAGATTGGACCACTTGTTATGATTGTTATTTAATGTTTTACATCAACTGTAACATCAAAGTTGATTGAGGGTTCTCAACTGGTGTTACAAATACATTCACCAATTAAAGAGACATGCTTTCAAGAAATTAACTTTTTAATTAATGTAGTTTGTTTTCCCTTTAAACACAAAGTTAGTATTCCAAGATTCTGTTCATAGTTATAAACTGATGAAGGTTTTTCTTTTATAAGTCCTAGTCTTGTATTATAGCAGAACTATGTGTCAGCATTCCTTCATGAAAGCACAAACAGGTATTAATCATTGTTAATCAAATAAATATGTAGTCTTTTATTATTCCTTACTATGTTTCATATTTCACACAGCATTATATCATTATTATTATATTTAATATGTAGGAGACATAATAGAATCAAAATGTAGAATAAAGGGTCACAACTCCCCCGTTCACTTGTACAAAAGTCTTTTATTTTGTAAGTAATCTTATGTAAATGTGGGTGTAAGATTACCAAAAATCTTTAAACAGGCTTGGTGTCTTCTATTTTATAATCTCGTGGGTTTTCTCCGGGTCCTCCGGTTTCCTCCCACTGCTAAAGACCCCTACGCGCAAGCGAATAATGTAAATAAAATTAAACCATATGTTAGTCCCGAAATGACCTAGTTTGTGTCGAGTGGACTTAAACCCCATTTCTCTCTCTCTCTCTTCTATTTTATTCCTCCAGATTAGTTCAGATTCCTTGTTTATAATAACAGCAGCGATTTTGGACCGAGAATATATACGTATCTATATAAAAAAAATCCACCTCTCTTACCTGGATCATAGTTTAGTGGTTTTAAAAAATCAACCATATTTACTTTGGATCATAGTGTAATGGTTTTAAAAAATCAACCACTTGGATTATAGTTAGTGGTGTTAATAAATCAACCATTTGGATCATAGTTTAGTGGTGTTAAAAAAATCAACCACTTTTACTTGAGTCATAGTTTGGTGGTGTTAATAAATCAACCACTTGGGTCATAGTTTAGTGGTGTTAAAAAATCAACTACTTATACTTGGATCATAGTTTGGTAGTGTTAATAAATCAACCACTTGGATCATAGTTTAATGGTGTTATGAAACCAACCACTTTTACTTGGATCATACTTTAATGGTGTTAAAAAAATCAACCACTTGGATCATACTTTAGTGGTGTTATGAAATCAACCACTTGGATCATACTTTAGTGGTGTTATGAAAAAATCAACCACTTTTACTTAAATCATAGTTTACGGGCATTAAAAATAATCAACCATGGTTACTTGGATCATAGTTTAGTGGTGTTAAGCAATCAACCTCCTTGGATGTATAAAGGCGGTTGTTTTCTTAATACAACTAAACCTGACTGAACACACAGGTCACATGGTCACATTTCTATGGAATATGATTACTGTTGATTAATGAATGATTTTCTGACCAGTATCCTCTGGTCTTTATCAAATGATTTTTCTTGATATAGACAGAATCCTGGTCCAAATATCACTCAGTGATAAACTGTGGGTCTACTAGTAATGGTATTCAGTAGAATTTTATACTGAGTATATTTCATTTGTTGTGCAATCATAATATTCTAGGTTTCCTGGAGTATATCCTTTAAAGCGAGAATTAGTTCTTTATTTAGTCTAGTATTAACAAATCAATTTACACCAGTATTGTATAAACCTTATGTCTCTAAGGCTGGGATCACATTGGGACTATTGTCCAAACATACCAAGGGTAATTGTCTTAGATAAGAGCTGGCTTCTGATTCGAAAGTGATTAGAATTAGTATAGTCTATTGTAATACTGCCAGCTTCACACAAAATCTAATCTTGTCAGTGTGAAATTCCAGTGTGATCTGAGTAGGCTCTGCTATTTATCTTTGGTCAAAATAACTATGGATTATTTTTTAGTATTTATAGTCAGAAAATGGAGAAGTCTTGGCCTGTAATATTTAAAAAGGTCAACAGTTTATGTAATAAAATAAGCATGATGTTTTTTGTGAATTGTTTATACATGTATACAGCTTGTTTTATTTCAGTCTATCTATATATTTACATTTATACTGTATATATACGTGGTGTTTTGTTTTCTCAATGTGCTGCCATTATGCTGTAGTAAATTTATTTTATAATCTCTCCGTAATTTGTTAATTATTTGTCATCTCATATAATAGGAGCCATCGTGACTCAATGAGTAAGGGGCCGACTCACTCACTAAGGCGTCCTGGGTTCAATCCTTGTGTTGGCCGGGATTTTCCGGGCTGGTTTCCTGGACAAGGCCAGGCAAGCTAAAAGTGTCTAGTGTAGAATTCAATGAAACTCAGGCAGAAATGCTGTTGTCTGGGAAAAATGTCACTCGGCGCAAACTGCATGGTGTATGTCTGTTGGAAGATCTAGTGTAAGTGGTACCTAAAATCCAGCTGATACCATATTCATTTATATTGTTCTCAATTTTGAAAATCATTGACATATGCAAAATCACAACAACCCAGATCATTAATCCTTTTCTGGTTTTTAAAATTACTTATTAAATTCCCAGAAAATTTAACATGTGGTACTATGAAAACAGGAAATGGTTTAAGATTCAGTGGTTAAGGTACTGGCGGACAAATATTCAGAGATCAGATTAACTGTTATATAAGAAAAGCAAGCAAAACTGCTTCCTCGCAAACCCCTTAATATCTGAATGTAGTGAACAAATTCTCAATTGTGGTTGATCTATATTTTTGTTTAATTATATCAAAATCACTTAATATTGACAAGCTGGGAAACATTGGATCTTAGTCAAAGTTTCTCATGGTGATAAACAATGTTGGTCTTCAGAAGAAATAAAAGACAATTTTCAAAACATTTATTTATATACAAGTTAATATGATTCTTTAAGATACTTCTAAACCAGCAGAGAATCGAAATCTTCACAACTTCAAATACACAGAAACTTTTAAATAAACAGAGAAATGTCTCCAGAATACTTATTTTGATGATACAATTAGTTAATATAAAAACACAAATTTATATGGAAAACAATCACTGATTTTATTTCACTAGGTTTCAACAAGTTCCTCTTGTCGTTCTCAAGTAATGCAGGGCGGAGGGCCTGACAAGGACATGTGTCTAGCCGTTCGGATGGGACGAAAAACCAAGGTCCCGTGTACACATTGGCGTGCACGTAAGAGATCCCTTGGCAGTTGGAATTCGATATAAGAATAGGCCATAGTGCCGCTGCCCGGGCAAAATTTCCCTCATAGCACACTGTAAGGGGTATGCCCGTCTTCATTAGCCCAGTTTAGGAGCAGAACAGTAGGACGTTAAACCCCATTTCATTTCATTTCATTTCCTATTGTCGTTCTCAAGTAACAAGAGGAACTTGTTGAAACGTAGTGTGAAATAAAATCAGTGATTGTTTTCCATATAAATTTGTGTTTTATATATGTTCAATTACTAAATGGCGTATAAGGATTACAATTAGTTAAATGAAGTATCTAATCCTGCATCTTGATATCCTCTAATACCTTCCATTAAATCTCTCCAACATGTATATTCATTACTGACTTCAACACCACCTCTTCTTATAAACTTAGGATATGATTTATTTTTATATAGATAGAATCCAGCATCTATATGCAAATCTATATTACCTGTAAACAAATATATAAAATATATAAAAATATACTACAAGGTAAATATTCTAAATACTAGCAAGATGAAAAAGATTCAATTAAACAAAATAATTTGATCTTGGCCCTTTTCTAAATATTTAATTGTTCTTACCTAGAAATAGATGATTGTCCTTCTCTACTAATTTTAAATTAAATATTTTTAAATATTTCTGAAAATAATTGAATACATGTTTTCAGTAATAAATCTTAAATAACATAATCGAATATATGTGGGTTTTATCCAACAATTAGGCTATTGGCTATAAAACATAGACTTTATTAGGCATAAATACGTATTGTACAAAATATTTATTTTGAAATAACTGTTGCTGTTGTTGACATTAAATTTTAATCCAGAATTTTGCAAATGTTGCCAATTCCCATTTAAAAATATGCCCAAAGTTGTGTTCAATGCCTATTTTGTTACTAGTTTTTTTTTTAGAAGATTAATGTACAGGGGTAGATTCACTGAATGGTACGAAATAAATTATGTGTTTTGAATCATTCATTTTCCCGCCAAAACATACCATCGAACACCAAATGAAGTGCATTGTAGAAAAACGCGCTCAAAGTAGTATTCAGTGCGACGTACAATGCATGATTTTTACCAGTTTTTGTGTAGAAAGTGTAATGAATTTAATGAATTATAAGAAATAAAATAGGCCTACAAATTATACGTTTGGAAATTCATTTTTCCGCCAAAACATTTTCCGCACTGAAATGAAGCAGCAATTTAGTAGAGTAGACTATTTACCGATAAAGGAGCTTGAACATATTTGGTAAAGAAATTCCACCATTTTTCATGGAAAGGTAACTCCATATAAATATGCCCTACACCATCTATGTTGACCTCTGGTCGGTTATCCCGTATATTTAAAGGCACGTTCCACGGCATGTTGGCTCCAGCGAAACGAACTATTTTAATCATATGAAACAGTCTGCAGGAAGTAAAAAATAATATAAAATGTGGTTTAACGTTCTACTTTTCTGTTGCACAAACTAGGTCAATGAAGATGAGAATACACCATACAGTGCGCTATGATGGACTTTTAAGTGTAAGTCAACGTGCGCGCGGAATCTTAGTTATTCGTCCCATCCGAATGGCTAGACATTTTTCCTTATCAAGTCCGTTGTCCAATAACATTTATAAGAAAAAATCACGCAGGTATTGTCTCGGCCAACCAGTGGCGGCGCCAGCCGTCGGTGATTGGAGGGGCAAAGCTGGGGCAAAATCCAAGGTTAAGGGTGCAAAGGCACGAGCTTCAACAAGGGGTAGGGGGCCTCCCCCAGAAAATTTTGAAAAACAGGTTGCCGGAAATGCAGCCTGGCAGTATTTCAGGCACTGGTCGATGAGGTAAAGTGTCAATCGAACGGACTTGCGAATCACGACGAAGCCCACTCACGAGCGTCAAAGTAGGGAGTCCTCCCCCAGAAAATTTTGAAAAATAGATTGCCGGAAATGCTGTCTTACAGTATTCTGTCAGGCACCGATCGTCGAGATAAATAGATCTGCCCAGATACCGTTCGTCGCCTGATCACCAGTTTATCCGACTAGAGAACAAAATGTCAAACGAACGGACCTGCGAACCTCAACGAATTCCCCTTGTGAGCGCCAAAGTAGCGAGTCCATTGGGGACCTCGCCAAGAAAATTTTGAAAAATAGACTGTCGGAAATGCTCTACAACATGCAAGTTTATGACTGAGTGGGGGGATGTGGGATTTATTCACCCTCATAATAAAATAAGCATCTTACTTTTTATAAGCATCTACATTCGTATCAGGCAAGGTATAAAGTATATTAAAAACACACGGTAGTCTGTTCCATTCAAGAAAATGTGACGTTAATACCCATCTGTATGTTGCACGATCTGCAAATTAGAACAGTTTTTTTTTTCGTGTTATGTTATAAACGTATTACATCCACAGGTAGATTAAACATATTTTCTGTGTGAGACATATTCTGATTAATTAATTATGAATTCAAGAGACGGGAAGCCGCAAACAGGGATGAAATAAGGAGACAACGTGAAAGTGGGGTTAAACGCATAGGCGTAGGAGCGGGGGGAATTTTTCTGACAATGTATTTAATTTCCGTTTTTCGGGCACAAACATCAGAGGATGGGGAACATTAAGTAACATATTGTAAATTTATATCTTTGTGTAATTGTGTAATTAATTAAAAATAAACAACCATCACAGCTTTGTGGAAAATTCGTTTTAGTTAATGATTGATTCATTCTGAAAATTCGGGTGATAAAGAAAATTTTCGGGCAAATAGCCTCAGCCCCCACCCCCACCAACTGAGATTGGACCCCCATGCCCGTGGTTAAACCTCCAACTTTTCTGGACCAACCGGGCTAAAGAAGACAGACCAGATGAGGGAAATTTTGACTCTATACTCTTCATCGAATTCCAATTTTACGCCATCCAAATAACTAGACGATTCTCCTTGTCAGTAGAAAATTCCGAGGAACTTATCTCTAACCTGCGGGACGCTAGTGGACCAGCCCCATCTCACTGAACCAACTGAATGCAAATGTATAGATGTAAGTTTCGACTAACATATTTTATAATTTGCTCTAAATCAAACCTGGATCTTCTACTTCATTTTCAGCATCTTTAATCAACTGATCGAAGTCTTTTTTGTTTGGTTTCAATAACAATACATTAGTATCAAATCTATCTGACCAGCTGACGTCAGTGGTAGCAGAGAAGGATTCGTAGGTAAAAATGTCATCGGGATTTTTAAGAACCTAAAAACAGAAGAAAAGAAACCATATTGATTCCACGTAAATCTCAAAATTTGTTTTTATGACCAAAGAGGTATATTAATGAATAGAATAGGGTTTAACGTCCTCCTTTTCTGCTCCAAGTGGGTTAATGAAGACAGACATGCACTGTGCAGTGTGAGATGGGGAGAATTTTGCTCGGGCAGCTTTTGAATTCCAACTGTCAAGGGTTCTTTCACGCCAAGATGCATACGGGACCTCGGTCGTGTGTCCTATCCGAACGTCTAGACACTGTTCCTGACCAATTCCGCCGTACTGATAAGGAGAAACCACACTGACATTTACTTGTGTCGTACAGAGCAAAAACTGAGTAAATTTGGTGTAAATAGGTCAAGCTCGTCATGTTTATACACAGGCGGGACTTATTTGGAATTTCAACTTTAGTGTAAAATCATATAGACAAAAATCGGTATATGGGAGCCACTGTGGCTCTGTGAGTAAGACGTTGGCTCACTAACCTTGAGGTCCCGTGTTCGATCTCGGTGAGGGCAGAGAAAGTTCATCTGGATTTTCCGGCGTGGTTTACCCTTCTCAGTGGTGCAGGACAGGGGGTATGGAGAGGGACAAAGCATAGTCGTTCGGATGGGACGAAAAACCCATTGACATGCACATAAAAGAACTCTTGACAGTTGGAAATCGATAGGCCTTCATAGCACACTGCATGGCGTATGCCCGTCTTCATTAGCCCAGTCGGAGCAGAACAGTAGGACGTTAAACCTTATCCCATTTCACGTTGACTTTGTGGAGCTATAGGCCTACGGCATAATAATTATCTAGAATTTTAGAGAACTGGGGAAATTGGCGATAGAAAACCTGTTCGTGTCGACGAGAACACTTTCCGTCTCAAACATGCATATATGGTGGCAAATTTTAACATTTTTACCATAGCTGAATTGTGAATATAAGCTAGCTTTTTATATCCCTTCACTTTCCATAACCAAATAGGACCGTAATCTTCATGTAAGATTCTTTTCTTTGGTGTCGCTAAATCAACGTCGATGATTTCATCAAACATCTTCTTCAAAAATGGTCTGAAATATTCACAATTATTGTTGTTTTATAGGTCATTAGGCAAGTGGTCATAGAGACTTTTAGTCCAACAAAATAGTATCCTCAAATTTGAACAACAAAACAACATTTGTGCTTTCGTTGGACGAATTACAATTTTCCTAAATAATCCCAAATCTAGCCTATTAAACATTTAATATTTTATTTATATTTTAATATTCCGTTCAATATTTTCAGTTGATGCCTTGTTAACAGAAATGCGCCATTGAAATAAAGATAATAGTACAAATGTACCTGATAAGCCACGATATATCATTACTGACCATGATAAGACGACATTTTTTACTACCACTGGCCTTCAATGATCGGGCTAAAACTGTAGCACTGATAGCTGTAAGGTCGGATGTGGCATAAGTGACATACGCATGTTTACCGCAACGCCTGAAAAAATTTTAAAAAAAGAAATAGGTTGTTCGATGAGTATAGCGCTTGGTCACTAACCTGGTCACGAATTTTTCAGTCTGATTTAATCTTGTCAGTGGTGCAGGATAGCGTCTAGCAGTTGGGATACGTAAACAGACATAATAATATAGAGTTTGGTGTCGCTGCCAGGGCAAAATTTCACTTATAGTACACTGCATGGCGTACGAACGTCTTCGTGGCCCTGTTGCTGCAGAAAAAAAAGACGCCAAACCACCATCCATTTCATTTCGCTGTATAAAACGGGACGGGAGCTACGGTGGCTAAGTGAGTGAGACGCTGGCTCGCTAGCCTGGAGGTCGTGTGTTCGATCCCTGCATTGGCCGAGAAAGTTCATCCAGATTTTCCGACGTGGTTTCACCTTGTCAGTGGTGCAGAACGGAGGGCCTGACAAGGACAGCTGTCTAGTCCTTCGGATGAGACGAAAAACCGAGGTCCCGTGTATACATTGGAATGCACGTAAAAGATCCATTGGCAGTTAGAATTCGATATAAGAGTAGGCGATAGTGCCGCTGCCCGGGCAAAATTTCCCTCATAGCACACTGTATGGCGTATGCCCGTCTTCATGAGCCCAGTATAGGAGCAGAACAGTAGAACAGTAGGACGTTAAACCCCATTTCATTTCATTTCATTTATAAAACGGGACTCATGGGTATATTAGCTGATACGATTCATATTCTCAAACATGTTCTTTTGTTCTTTACAAAATGTAGGACAATATTTTAAAGTAACACTCAAGCAAGCCCTTGCAGTTATCAACATATCGCTCTCCATATAAATCCAACAGCGACACCTCTTATTTCATAGCAAAACAAATGCGACCCCCCCCCCCCCATCGTAATTTCTTTCTAAAACTTCAACATAAAGGAAGGAAAATTACATTTTTTAAATTAGCTATCTGTTTTTAAAAATTCGTTATTCAGACCCATTACTTTTATTTATCTTCAAATCAAACTTACCTGCCTGTCACATTTATAAAACATAAAAAGAATGATAGAAGAAAACATAATCCCACAATATTATGCATGTTTCTTTGTAAATACTAATAAATTATCGTGGCGTATTCTTACAGATCTAGACTAGATGTACACGTTATCCATACACTGAATATGATAAACACTGGACAAGTTCCCATGGAATCTATTTCATTATCTTATTCTGTTCGACGCGAAGGTCACCTATTGGATGAATTATTTATTTAATTTGTTGTTGGCCGAGAAAATTCTTCGGGATTTTTTTAGAGTAGGTTCCCTTGTCAGTGGATGCGGAATTGGGGATTTGATAAGAATAATCAGTGTCTTGTCTTCGGATGGGACCAAAAACGGAGGTCTCTGTATGTATACACGTGTTGGTGTACATGTAAAAGAGTCCTTATTTGCCAGTTAGAATTTGAAGAACAGTTATAGGCGAAGCGTCACTTTCCGGGCAACATTTTCCTCATGGCACACTGTATGGCGTTATGTCCATCATCATTATTCCGGTTGGTGCTGAAAAGTCAGGCCCGGCGGAGTGGGGGGGGGGGGCTAGCGGAGGCTTTAGGCCCCCCCCCCCAATAATTTGGGCGCAAGTACTCTTTTCTCCAGGTTATTGTGGCCCCTGGACCCTTGCATATTAGGACCTTGGATGGAAGCACCCCCCCCAAATCAAGAATTGCTTCCGCCGGCCCTGAAAGTAGGCCTACAAGGCCGGTAACCCTATTTCATTTATAGCTCTAGTTGATCGAAAAGGCGATTAATCCCGTGTATACCATTAGTGGCACATTGAGGATATCTCGACAATTGAAAATCGAAATGAGAGTAGAGTAGGCCGACGAGTCCTAGTCCGACTCCGAGCAGAATGTCCATCATCATTTCTTACCCTAATAAAGATATTTTTTTTAGTAGAGCATGCTAAAATGGAGATTGAGATATCTCCAGAATTATACACAAATAAATGGAAATATCTTTTTAGGAATTAACAGATTGCCTCCATAACGATTCCCCATTGATGGATTTATGTACTTAGATCTGTGTATAGTAGGAACCCTGCGACTCACCATTTATATAGAATAATGTATTTTATCATTTAAGATATAAATGTACTTAATATATGCTTGTAGAAATCTGACGTAAATAAAGTGTAGTGTAAAAAAAAAAAAAAAAAAAAAAAAAAAATTATTATTATTATTATTATTATAGCATATTGCATGGTGTATAATGCCCGTCTTCATTAGCCAAGTTAATGCAGAAAAGTAAGACCGGAATAAAAATCAACTGGTGGTGGCATGGTGATTTCTTTGTGGTTATTAAGATTAAGTTCATTGGACTCCTCAAACAAATCTTATAATAGGCCAAGAAATCTCATGGATATGACATTGAAGTCAATTTGGAAAGAATTAGTAGTCCGATCCCTGATATTGTAATCAGAGTTGTCTCCCGCGTTTTCCTTTATTTTTTTATTGCCAGGGCGTAGCAAAGGTAAGGTTTTCGTCGTTTACTCGCGTCACTCGAGTCGACTCCATTGCCGAGTTTACCCAGGTGAAACATCCCGAACGGTCCGAGTAGTCCGAGTAGTCACATGACATCAAAACAGTTACGACGTCAGTATGTGATCGAGAGACGGACCTCGAGAGACAGGCTTTTTTGCGTATAGGACGCCATTTTGTCACGTGACAAACCCTTTTACTCTCCGCTCGATTCAAAACGCGAACGGTCTGGTGTCGACTCAAGTGACCAACGAAAACCTTACCTTAAAGTGTAGAGTCTATGTTGTTGTTTTTTGATAAAAATGGGTTAACTAACGATAAATGCATCAATAGCCTGTCTTCTTTGAGCAGTAAAACACAAACAGATTCGAATTAATTACGTCATTCGCCGCATGGATGTGGCTAAAAATAACTTTAGGATCAGCTGACATGGAATGATCACGGTTGGGGTTTCCCTTTAATAATCCTCCTCTACCACCTGAGACTTTGCTCTAAATGCATCAGATTTAATAATATTTTTTTATGACTAGATAAAAACACATGCACGCCCAGTGAATATACACAATGGGAGGTTTACGTGCGATAAGTCAGTGTTGGTCAGACAGTTAGGACTTTCATAACTGCTTGTCACACCATTACCGTTATCCAATCACATCGCTCGCTCCGTGTATCGCACCAGATCGGAATCACCCTTTCGTCTATTGATCAACTGTTAACTGATCTGCAGAAAGACAACAGTCTTATTCTTTCTTTTAGTGAATGTTTTGATACCAAACACACGTTAATTTGCTGTTCTACTGCTTGAGGAATATTCACGAGAAAGTGATTATTGCTTTCATAATGGAGAATATTACAGCGGAATCATCCAGTTTTCCACAAGATTTTCTGGAATATTTACCGGAGAATCCTATCAAAGAACCACTTAAACATGGATGGATTTTAATGAATCAACAATATACAAAATTTCAGATTGCTACATGGGGATCACTAATTGTTCATGAAGTATATCATCCTTTTTTGTTTATTTGAATAACTTAGCGCTAACTATGCTCAGATTCAAATTGAATAATGGAATATACAAACTAACAAAGATCTCTATTTTAGTATCTTTTTAAATATTTTATTACCTACCGGGGTATCACGGTCTAATGTCAGTACCAGTAAGTCGAGAACAAAATTTTATTTTTAAAATGACATTTGGGAGCATTCACCTCAAGTCAACTATATTAAAATTAGGTCACTTATAAAACAAGAATCAATTATATTTTATACTCTTTGTTTCAATTTCAGTTTGTATATTTTGCGGCTTGTTTGCCAGCTTTCCTGTTTCAGTTTTTTCCGTTCATGCGAAGATTTAAAATCCAGGCAGTAAGTATGATGATAAAACCTTTTCAAATAAAATTCAGCTGGACCCCAAGTCTATAAAAATGTTTCAGAATGCATGTGCCCATCTTATGAATAGGCCTAACTTGAGATGTTTGACCACATTTTCTTCTGTTTGAAACAGCATACATGTGATTGGCCAAAAGTAAAATGTCAGGAGATTTTTGTAAAAATGTCAGGAGATTTTTGTAAAAATGTCAGGAGATTTTTGTAAAAATGTCAGGAGAATTAAGGTCAAAAGAGGGAGACTTTAATCATGCGTTAAAATTACCCACCCACCATGAATAAAAGACAAATTAATTTACATATTTTATATATTTTAATATCATTTTAATATGCATGTAGGCCTACATTAATAAATTTAAAAACTTCTGATTAGCAGTTTTGGTCATTTGAGGTGCAGTTACATATATATACTCAATATTAATTAAATGTAACAGTTTACTTTTAATTTGCCTTGAAGTTGATAGCCCATTTACATTACGGTAGCTATGGTTATTAAATTTTGGTGGTTATTGTCATTTTGGAAAATATTATTCATATTTTGTGCATAACTTGCAAGTTACTGATATCGCACGGTATGAATTGTATTGTGGATGATATTTTCAACACCATTCATGTACGACCCTTTACGTGTGCTAAACAAATTCCAACTACAGACGACATAATGTTGATGTCACGTGGTCTGAATTACCTTGCTGTCCACATTGGTAACATAACCGTAATGAGTTTAAAATCACACATTACAAATTAAAAATGTATGTAAAAAAAGCCCTATTAATTCATCCTGTTCTGAACATTCACAATACTATTTAATTATGTTTTATTGTGCAGAAATTGCCGTGAATACGAGACTGACGCAAGCGCGCGATGTCAAAGTTTCAGTTTTGCAAAGCGGTAGCTTCCGGGGCCCGTAGCTTCCGACTAATTACGTAATATTAGAGCGTTGTGTTGGTCATTGTAAAATTTATTTAACATCGAAAATCATGAATATTACGACCAGGACTTTATTAATTTCGTATAAAAACAATAATTATCGTGGGTCTATTATATTGTGTTGTTTTTGCTTAATCTTTTACTTCTTAATGTTATTATTATTTAATTTTTATACGTCCACATTCATAATGTGAACGTATTATGCCGTCGCCCCTGTCTGTGTGTGTGTGTGTGTGTGTATGTATGTATGTGTGTGTGTGTGTGTGTGTGTGTGTGTGTCTGTGGTTCGCCTACAGGGCGCAATTCTTCATGGATTTTCTTCAAACTTGGTATACTTATTCCTTATACCCCAAGGAAGATCCCTATTGTTTTTGGTGCATGCCCGACCCCCCGGGGCAGAGCCACGCCCATTTCTAGTATTTGTTTGTTTGTCGTCTACAGGCCACATTTCTTAACTAATAATCTTGAAACTTTGCATACACATTCTTTGTACCCTAAGGAACATCCCTATCGTTTGGGGTGCATGCCCAACCCCCAGGGGCAGAGCCACGCCCATTTTCTTTTCGTGTGTCTTTGTGTCGCCTACAGGGCGCAATTCTTACTGGATTTTCTTCAAACTTGGTATACTTATTCCTTATACCCCAAGGAAGATCCCTATTGTTTTTGGTGCATGCCCGACCCCCAGGGGCAGAGCCACGCCCATTTCTAGTATTTGTTTGTTTGTCGTCTACAGGCCACATTTCTTAACTTATAATCTTGCATACACATTCTTTGTACCCTAAGGAACATCCCTATCGTTTGGGGTACATGCCCAACCCCCAGGGGCAGAGCCACGCCCATTTCCCATTTTCTTTTCGTGTGTCTTTGTGTCGCCTACAGGGCGCAATTCTTACTGGATTTTCTTCAAACTTGGTATACTTATTCCTTATACCCCAAGGAAGATCCCTATTGTTTTTGGTGCATGCCCGACCCCCAGGGGCAGAGCCACGCCCATTCCTTATATTTATTTATTTGTTTGTCATCTACAGACCGCATTTCTTAACGTATCAACTTTACATATTTATTCCTTATACCCTAAGGATGATCCCTATTGTTTTTAGTGCATGCTCGCCTCCCCGGGGCAGAGCCACGCCCATTTTTGTATTTGTTTGTTTGTCGTCTACAGGCCGCATTTCTTAACGTATCATCTTGAAACTTTGCATACTTATTCTTTGTACCCTCAGGAACATCCCTATCGTTTTGGGTGCATGCCCACCCCCCAGGGGCAAAGCCACGCCCATTTTCTTTTTCTATGTGTGTGTGTCGCCTACAGACCACAATTCTTAATCAATTGTCTTGAAATTTTTTCATATGAATTGCTTATACCCTAACGATGACCCCTATTGTTTTTTTACCCCCAGGGGCAGAGCCACGCCCATTTTCTTTTCTTTTTATGTCTGTGTGTCACCTACAGGCCACAATTCTTAATCAATCGTCTTGAAAATTTTTCATATGAATTGCTTATACCCTAAGTATGATCCCTATTGTTTTTGGTGCATGCCCGACCACCAGGGGTAGAGCCACGCCCATCCCTTATATTTATTTATTTGTTTGTCATCTACAGATCGCATTTCTTATCGTATCACCTTGAAACTTAGCATACATATTCCTTCTATCCTAAGGAACATCCCTATTAGTTGTGGTGAATACCCAACCCCCAGGGGCAGAGCTACGCCCATTTTCTTTTTTTATGTCTGTGTGTCACTTGCAGACCGCATTTCTTAATCGATCATCTTGAAATTTTTTTTAGACTTATTCCTTATAGCCTAAGGCTACGTTTTTACACTTATTCCTTAATCCTAAGGCTGGCCTCTATTATTATTTTTGGTGCATGCTCAACCCCTTGGGACAGAGTCACGCCTAATGTTTGTGTGTCTTGTGTTTTGCCTACAGGCCGCAATTCTTAACCGATCCTTTTGAAATGGGGATACCTATTCTAAACGTCATGCTTTTAGAATAAAGACATCGATTGTTTTAAAATAAAAATTGTGTTCTGTTAATGTGAACGAAACGTTAAACTGATAGCAGTCCTACAACCCAGTTTTATTTCACAGACCCTCAATGCAAACTGGACCATATCAAACAAAACAGGAATGTGGACGTATATTGCTGCGTTAGCGATGCTCTTGTTGTAAATGGCTTCATCATGAACTCTTATATATTAAATCCAAGTTTACTAAATGTCATTGTGCTTGATAACGATAAGAGGATACTTGTCGAAACGTCGTGCTAATAGAATAAAACCAGTGATTGTTTCCCATAAAAATTGTGTTCTGTTAATAATTATCGTGTTATTTAAATGGTATTGATCCAAATACAAAAACATCGAAAATGTATTCAGACCGTGTTACTAATAATTATATAGTAACGCCGTGTTACTAATTATAGTAACAACATTCAACACTTAACAAAAAAAAAGTCTGTCTCGTTTTATTTCGATGCTATTTGATTACAATTTTGACTCCCAAAAAATAAAATTACAAGAATTGAAAAAGCGGGAGTATTTGTCTCCTGATCGGGAGATCAGGGGTGAAATCGGGAGACCCCCGCGAATTGCGGGAGGTATCACATGTATGAACAGGAAAAGTGATAATACAACAAGATTTGATGAAATTCATTCATATCATCCGACCATTTTGATTAGCATCTTGATTACAAAAGGTAAAGTTTTGTAATATGTCCTTTAAAAGTGGGTGGATCCAAAGATGCCTCTATGGCCTATAGGTTATTTTAAGCAGGATAGACTAATATAACATTAATTAATATTTCTATTTTTAAGGATAAACCAGAAACAGCAGATAAACAGTGGAAATGTTTGAAATTGATTTTATTTAATCATTTCTGTATACAGGTAATATTGTTAGTCAAATCTGCATCTTTTGCATTTTTCAGATATTAAAATTTCCAGGGCTTATTCCATGCTAAAATGTACTTAAATTTTGGATTTATTCAGATAAAAAGAGGCCCATCAAAACATTGTAGCATAAAATTCCAGGTATTATGGTGGCTTATGACTATGTCCAATCTATATCATGAGGTAGAATGCATTGATCAGGATCTAGACATCAAAAAAGATAAACAAATAATATGTAGAAAAAATGGTAATCTAATGGAATGAACTAGATTTTTACAACTCACTATTGATTATGTTTCAGTTGCCTCTTATTGCTGGTACCTATGTATTTACAGAATGGTTTGGTATACCCTATGGTTGGGATGAAATGCCATCATGGTTAGAAATTAAACATTAATATTTAAGCATCCAAAAATTTAAATTGGTTATTTGATGTATAAATTTTCATTTGCGAAATAACGGATTATAGCTCCATGTGTAATGCTTGATTTAATAACTCCCATGTGAAATGATTTGTAAATAAATCCATGTGTAGTGGTTTAGAAATGACTACAAATATAGTGGTTTGTATATAACTCCTATGTGTAGTGGTTTGTAGAGAAGTATGATGTTTTGTATATAAATCCATGTACAGTGAGTTGTGTACATGTTACTACGTGTGTATTGGTTTGTATATAACCCATGTGTATTGGTTTGTATATAACCCATGTGTATTGGTTTGTATATAACCCCATGCGTATTGGTTGGTATATACATGTTACTACATGTGTATTGGTTTGTATATAACCCCATGTGTAGTGGTTTGTATATATAACTCCATGTGTAGTGCTTTGTATATAACACCATGTGTATTGGTTTGTATATAACACCATTTGTATTGGTGTGTATATAACCCCACCAATATTGGTTTGTATATTGCAGTTCAGTGTAGTTGTTTGTATATTTAGGGGGGATCACGTGGCTAAGTGGGTAAGACGCTAGCACGCTAGCCTGGAGGTCGGGTGTTCGATCCCTGCATTGGCCGAGAAAGTTCATCCAGATTTTCCGGCGTGGTTCTCCCTTGTCAGTGATGCAGGACGGAGGGGCTGACAAGGAAAGCTGTCTAGTCGTTCGGAAGGGACGAAAAACCGAGGTCCCGTGTACACATTGGTGTGCACGTAAAAGATCCCTTGGCAGTTGGAATTCGATATAAGAGTAGGCCGTAGTGCCGCTGTCCGGGCAAAATTTCCCTCATAGCACACTGTATGGCGTATGCCCGTCTTCATTAGCCCAGGTTAGGAGCAGAACAGTAGGATGTTAAACTCCATTTCATTTCATTTTCATTTGTATATTTAGATAAGTAAAATTTGTTATTTTTGTATATTTAAGGTATAATTTAGCTCTACGAGTATTTGGTTGTGCTGTAGTAGAAGATACATGGCATTATTTTCTACATTATGCTCTACATGATGGACGTATCTACAAACATATACATAAAATTCATCATCACTTTCAGGTAAATCATAAAAAAACAGTTCAATATATATTGAAATGCATAACAATTGTGGTTTGAAACTTCTATGTTTTTTTATTTCTATTCTTTGGCAAAGTTTTAAACCCATCACCCAGAAAATTAAAATGTTATGTTAATATATAAACTTAGTTATATTTTATAAAATTATTTAATTCATATGACAGAACCATTTAATGAGTTTTCACCTGTGCATCTATATCAAAATATTTCTGATTTTTTTAGGCACCTTTTGGACTAACAGCAGAATATGCCCATCCTTTAGAAACTCTTAGTAAGTAGATCAATGTTTCGTAAACATACATTGTGCAAGAGATAAATCTGTCTTATCCAGATCATAATCAACTGAAGAGTCCAGGGGAAGAACGATCTAAGTCACATTTTTGTCTTTTCACATAAAAGGCAAAACAGAATGGTTTAATTACAACTTCAAAATGATGTTTAATACAAATCATAATTACCAGTACAACAACTGACTTCCACTTTTCAGCCAAATTAAGGTCAAATAAATACAATGGACTTGTATTTGTCCGGGAGGCCATTTCAGAAGGACCTTGGTTCGATGTGACTCTGATCATTTTTACCTGAAATTGATTGTTCCACAGAAAGCTTATACAATTTGCTACCAGATGGCGCCATTAACTGGGGTTCCTTTAAAAAGTGACTTAGATCGTTCTTATCGTTCTCTTCAACTCTTGATGACATCGCTAGCCTGCGATATTTATTGGGATAGGACCTGATCTGCTGCTCTGCGCTTATTCATGATTAAATCAAGAAATGGATAATCGAGACTATGTATTTTATCGTACCAACTTCAGTAATGATGATGGAGTCTAGGCACAAAATTCAATCGCTAAATTCTCGGTTCAGAATGGATCAATTTGACTGAAATTTTCAGAAAATTCCCTTTAGATTATCTAGTTTTATCTATTATAGTGAGAACTGCCAGCTCTTTATCTAATTTCCCATAATGTATCTTTAAATTGAAATTATTAGCATTCATATAAGAGAGGTGTCTAGGTCAAAATCATTCATTAATAAAGGGGTTTTGGTCAATATATTTCATATAAGAGATTATTTTTTGTCAATATCTTTCCTTGGTGTTTTAAATTTAGATTATATGTAATATGTATTGAAATGTTTTAATAAATGTTTTTATGTATTTTAGTTTTAGGGTTTGGTTTCTTCCTGGGTATATTAATATTTGCTAATCATCTGGTATTATTATGGGCGTGGGTAACTATTAGATTATTTGAGACTATAGATGTTCACAGTGGATATGATGTACCATATCTTAATATCTTACATTTAGTACCATTCTACGCTGGTAAGTTTTTTATTTTTTGGAAATTATTTGTATTTGTTCATCATAAAGTTGAATATATGATGATGTAAAATATTCAATCAGTTTAAAGAGAGGCCCATCAAAAGATTTGACGCAACACCTGTGATACTGGCGTATCTATATCTAAATATTGTGAAACTTTCAATTCATCAATTTCAATAATAAATGGAATTAAACCATTTTATAGAGATTCATGCCTAGGTCCCACTAGGCTTTTTTTGCTGCGGTGATGTACTACCTATAGAAATTGATGAGCCCGTTTTCCTGATAATGCAAGGTTTGAAAGTTTTTGCAGTTCTCCTGAGGCCTGCCGATGGTTCCATGTTACTCGCGATGCCCCAAGAGTTTCCCTTTGACGCCATGGAACCTGTTCCTAACGCCTCCCGAGGCTCATAAATTTCTATCGGTAGTACATCCCCGAGGAAAAAAAATGCCAAGTGGGACCTAGGCATCAACTTTGCAAGGGATTCAAAATCCCTGAAGACCTCGAGGTAAACTAAACCAAACAATATACTAAAACTATTACACAATATTATAACAATTCTTGTACTATTTTCAGGTTCTCGGTTCCATGATTTTCATCACAAGAACTTTAATGGAAATTATTCTTCCACCTTTAAATGGTGGGATATTATCTTCGGAACAGATTCACAGTATAAAGAATATCAGGCCAAATTAAAGGCAGAACAGAAAAAATTGAAATAAACTGTCACATGTTAAATTGTCGTCAGTTATGAAAGTTTGTAATCAAATTGTGATAAGTTACAGTGGTTATGCCTCAGTTAAAGTGACATTGTCTCTAGATATAAAAATCTGTGATCTACCATAACAAAAAACCCTGAAATGTAAATTCAGGAAAGTTTGTGACCATAGTGAAGTAAAATTATATTATAATGACTTAAAGTGCCTGTAATTTAACAGATTTGCTGCTGTTTGATGATGTACATAGTATCTCCACCAAATTAAACAAAAATTAAACTATCAAAAACTAAACAGATAAATCAAATTCAAAGGAAACAAATAAAACAAAGAAAATGAAAAGAGCAGTTCAGTACCATTCTACATTAACAAAATAAAGGAAATCAGTTGTGAAATTTTTTCGAAAAAAATAAGAGCAAAGTAACACTAATGTTAATACTTTTTTAACGACCCTACTGAATGAATGTTGGGCTTAACAAAACAATCATGATCATTAATGATTTCTATGGAAAAGGGGGTTGGGCAAGATACAAAAAAGTTGAGAACCACCCCAATGGCTAATTTGACTGGTGGAAGTATTCCTAAACCTTAACAAAAAAATATAACTATCACAAGTATAGATTTGTAGTTCGCTTGATGGGAAGTAATACAAAATTTATGCAATTGTGGAGACTAATTTCTAGATGAGCTGTCACCTTGAATACATTTTATATTTACAATAATATTAAACGTGTGCAAAGCAGAATATTCAGTATTTACTGGAGTTAAATTTAGGAAAGTTTGAGATGACATCTCGTAAATATATTCTTTCAACATAATTTCAAATATTATTCTATTCCTCTTCAATCATATCTCTTGGTTAATATAATTCATTGTGTTGTTATTTAAAAGAATATTGGGTTAAAGTTGACTTTCATGACCACCAAAACATCACATCAGTTGATTTTCTATTCCTGTTATTCAACGTGACCTACTTTCGGTTTGTTTATAAATAGATTTAACGTGACCTATTGACCTGTGACGTAATAACCTATGACGTTGTAATGACGTGTTACTAGTTTTAATGGCTGGCAGGTAGCCAGTCTGTGTACAGAATGTTGTTGATATTTACAATACATCAAAATAAAACAAAACATTTTCATTTAGTCCTAACATTATTAGTAACAAATAAAACTAGAACTGCGAAGCAGTAATGACGGGTTTCACCGGTGCCACGTTACCCTAAACATATGTAACTTCCGGTACCAACGAAACCATTAAACAGGTTTCCACATAAGCATTGCACACATCAAATAAAATGGACCCCGAATCAACCAAATCCAGCAATATAAATTCATTTTATACATTTGTTACATGTAAGTGTACAGTACTTCCGGTGATAATGAAAATGTTCAATTAGTTTTATGAAATCAGAAATGGCAAAAGGCATCACATGGTGAACATTTTATGTAAATCAAATAATAATTGCCACTTTTATAGACCAAAAACCTTGAAAAGTGACTTGTAGAAAAACGTCTATTTCTCTGCAACCGTACAAGTTAGAAACCATTTTCTGGTATCTGTATGATCGTATAGGTTTAATCTATTTGTTGATTGGAATCAAATATCATAATTTTAAAAACATTACAAATAAGACTCATTTGAATAAAATATCTGTTTTGAAGGCAAAAAATACAGTTTTTGCCAAAATGAAGTTACTTCCGGTGATAATGAAAATCATAAATTACTTGTATGAAATCGTAAATGGCATTAGGTATCACACAGTGAAAATTTTATGAAAATTGAATAATAATGACACATTTATGGACCAAAAACCTTGAAAAGTGACCTGTTGAAAATCGCCTATTTCTCCGTAACTGAACAAGTTAGAAACCATTTTGTGATATCTATATGACCGTATGGGTTCATTCTATTAGTTGATTGGAATGAAATATCCAAATTTTAAACAAATAACAAATACGACTCATCTGAATAAATTATTTGTTTCGAAAGCTATAAATATAGTTTTTGCCCAAATTACGTCATTTCCGGTGATATTGAAAATGTTAAATTGGTTTGTCCTAGTCACAATTGACATTTCGCATCAAATGGTATCACTTTTATGAAAATCCAATAATAATTGACTCTTTTACAGGCAAACTAGCGTAAAAAGTGACACTTGCAAAATTGACCATTTCTCGGCAACTGCTCATATTACAAACTAATTTTGAGATAGATTCTCTTCGTATGAATTAATGCTACAAGTTTATGAAAGTCACAAAGAAATATTTTAAAATATGAAACGCCTGAATGGGTTGTAAATAGCTCAATTTTACACCGTTTTTCACCTTTAAATCGAAACGGCGCAAAAATGAAATCGAAATTAAAAAAATTGCTTCCTGCTTTTTTTGCGCCTTTACATGGCGCATCTTCTTACTTTTTACTTATTTTAAAAAAATAATATTTGCTTGCAAAAAGACGTACCTAACCGCCAAAATTGTAGTTTTGGTCAAAATTACGTCATTTCCGCTGCTGACAGAAAGCTTTATCGGTAATAAAAAAGTTGAGACTTTGCACCATTGAGCATATGAACTTTGTTTTATACAAATCGAGCAATAAATTTCATATTTTTGTTCAAATCACATGACCCTTTAATTATGGGTAAAGCGCCATAAAAAAATATACATAAATAAAAAAGTTTTTTGTTAAAATTTTCAAAATTTGACGCCTAATATCTTCGAAGATTAATCGAAAATCAAAAATCTAAACAATCGTAGCTATTTGCCGTGTCTCAGGCTATGTCAAAATGTATCAAATGTTAAAATCCGACAATTATTGTTAATATTACGGCAATATTTCCAAAAACGACAACTTCGGTTATTTCGGACATTTCGCATTGTCACAGAAAGTTCGAAATAGCTTTAATCTCTCTAAGTCACACCCACTTTCCCGGTAAAACCGAAGACATTGAGTTGATCTGACAAATAGTTTCTGAGATATGCTCAAGTGGAAAAAAAAAAAATAATAATAATAAGAACAATAATCTTAACAAAAACAATAGTGTTTCACACTGGCCACGCAGTGTGAAACCCTAATAAAGATGTTGTATGATTATTTATATTCTATTTATTAATAATTAAGGCCTAATTTACGTAGATATGTTTCACATTCTGTTTCACCTAACCGACGAGCATATTCTAATAAACTACAAACATCACACTGAACAACAAACAAGGCACCAGCAGAGTAGAGTAACTTTAACTTCTCTTAACGGCTGTATGTCAGAGTCAGTACAATAAAATACTGGTGTCATTATCTTCATCCCTATCATATTTTTCAAGTCCTTGTTCCAATAAGTATTTTACACAGTCTACTGTACCATGCCGACAAGCATGGTGTAATAAACTACGACCAACATCCTCTTAACATCTAACATGGCACCAGCAGAGTAGAGTAATTTTAACTTCTCCACTGGGGTTATTCTAGACTCAATACAATAAAATACTGGTGTCCTATTATAAACACGATCTCTACCATCTTTATCAAGTCCTTGTTCCAATAAGTATTTTATACTTTTATACTCTGCACCAGCAGAGTAGAGTAATTTTAACTTCTCCACTGGGTTTATTCTAGACTCAATACAATAAAATACTGGTGTCCTATTATAAACACGATCTCTACCATCTTTATCAAGTCCTTGTTCCAATAAGTATTTTATACTTTTATACTCTGCACCAGCAGAGTAGAGTAATTTTAACTTCTCCACTGGGTTTATTCTAGACCTAACACAATAAAATACTGGTGTTCGTCCCAGATCGTTAACAGGAATATACTATAAAGATTTTAACATTCTAGTTGTAACGCCAAGCAGTGTTTGTAAATATTTCAGAATATTATCGGTCAGGTAATTCTTGTCTTGATCTTCTTATTAACTTATTTAAATATATCTTGAAATATTTCCACAAATTTGTCTTTAAATATTTAATCAAAGTATGACTTTACAGTGGTGCATACTGCCTTTCAAACTCAATGCCAGATATATGTTTCTGGCACCAACGTTTCTGCAACAGAGGTTTAATTGGTGCTAACTGGTGTTGATAGAAGCTAACTTGTTAGGGTTATAAACCTCTTGTGGTCGAAATGTTGTAAATACTCTGATTATAAACCTAAGTTTTCAAATGGGAAACAATTACAATGTATTAACTTACACATGGTGCCAAAATATATGTTTCTTTTAGAAAGCTCTTTAAAACTTTGAAGTTTTTATGGTCTGCAGTTCGATCTAAAAAAATTGATTTCTACTTAAGCCACCAAATGAAAATTGAATCGTATAGAGCTTGTCAGATCACTATTAGAAATAACAAATCTGATAAACCTAATTTAATAATTTATTTCGGCTAAAAGTTTCAAACTTAGGACAATGATTGATGGTTTTTTTTTTTATTAATACAAATTCATCTTGCTTTCAAGCTGTAACCAAGTATAGAACATATCAAGGCTTTGATCCATTGTTTACCATAATTATCAAGACCTTGCACTTTACATGGTAGAAAAAATATGACCAAAGATTGTAATTCAATTCTGCTAAAATCATTCATATTTTAAAACTGATTAGGCCTGTATTTTGTTGTTAATATTTATGTAAAGAGATGTACATTTTTTAGTTGAAAAAACAAAATGGCTTTTTCTTTGTAAATACTTGTTGTTTATGTCAATAAACTATTTGTGTAACTATAACTGCTTATTTATAAGAACAGTGTTGCATGTGTACCAATAGGTCAATAGAAGCGGTGTTAATCAGTATAAAATCCACCCCAGTAATCTGATACAAACACAAATCCTTTCTGCTTAATGTATCCACGATGGCTTATTCTGTAAAACATCGGCTCGCTAACCTGGAGGTCCAATGTTTGATCCCTGTGCCGATAGAGAAAGTTTGTTTGGATTTTCCAGCGTTGTTCAGATGGGACGAAAAACCCCAGGTCCTGTGTACACTTTGGCATACATGTAAAAGAACTCTGGCAGTTTGAATTCGAAATAAGAGCAGGTCATAGCATCACTGCCTGGACAAAATTTTCCTCACAGCAGACTGTATGGCCGTCTTCATTAACCCAGTCGGAGCACAACAGTAGAAATATGTATATGTTAATGTACATACTAGAACCATTGCTCCTTAAATAGCACATCATCTTAATCTCAGTTTCTAAACGAGTTGATACTCCCAAGATAATAAGGTAACAAGCAAATCAAAACGAGTCGACAGCTCTGTACAGAAGGACACTGGTTCGATCTTGGTGTTGACTGAGAAATTCAGTTTCTTACGACTTTCTAGCTTGGTTTCCCCATGTCAGTGGTGGTAGGACGTAGGTCTTGTTATGGACAAGTGTTTATTCAATCGGATGGGTCAAAAACCCAAGATGTCATGCATATCATTGGCAGCATTTTAAAGACCCCCTGACAGTTGAAAATCAACGTAAGGGTGGTAGCCTGTAGCACTGTTGTCCAAGCAAAACTTTAAACCCCATTTCATTATTACAAATACATCACATATTTTCGTTATCAAAAAGATGCAACAGCATGGGAGAATGGGTAAATTCACAACAGAACAAGACAGTAGTTTTGTAAATGAATTTATTTGTTTTATGCTGTAGCACGGCTGACTGTATGTGGTCCTATATTGCAAGCATTGTAGACATGATGCATGAAGTAACCAATGTCCTACTTATTAGTTGAATACTGGGCTTTACAATCATATAAATATACAAGTTTGCTCTATTGTAACAAAATAAAAGAAGTCTATGATTGATGATATGTAACTTATGTTATTTTATACAATGAAATATGGCTGATATTAATGTTTCTATTATGTTTTAAAGATATCTATTATTAATCCTGTTTTAACAGACCTAAAGTATTTCACATTGTTTCAGTACCGTAATACATATTTCTAAATACCTTGTGATTGGACCACTAATCAAATATAACGTACAGTAATGGCACATTAGTGCTTACAGATGTCTATCCTGATCAACATTTTTCTGGATAATATCTAATATTTCACAGCTTAATCCAAGCTAAAATATACTCAAATTGATTATTTACCATATAAATAAGAAAACAAAACACAAATACCAACAGCAGATTATCCTCTGAATTGGATTCAATCAGATTAAAAAGAGGCCCATCAAAGTATTTTATCCCACATTTAAAGGTGGTGCTGGTTTGTTTATATCTTTGTAAATACTGAAAGTAACTGAACCATTTTTAGGACTGATATCCCTTTAGAGATTCAATTTTTTATAGGATTCTAGTTTGCAAGGGATTAAAAAACCCACAGTGACATAATCATTCAATATCCATTAGAAAAAAATGTCTGCATAAAATACGGCAGGGTGATACAATTGTTGATTAATTAGATTTTATTTATGTTTCTGTTGAAGGTTTGAGACCTCTGATAGATAAATCATACACAACTTCTTCTACTTTCTTTACATCATATTTTAAAGCATCAAATCTTTTTCTCAAGGCATCGTTTTTAAGATTCAGCAGTCTGAATCCGGATTCAAGTTCTCCCAGGAATGAAGATATTTGTAGTGGTCTGGCATAATCACCAGCGATTACAGCATTCACTGCCAAACGAGACTGAAAGAAATAATGAACATCAATTACATGGGAAACTATTATTAACAGATACTACCAATATTTTTTTTGTATTCTAAATTGAGGCCGAAAACATATACCAAGTTTGACCCACAATTTGATTTTGTAAATACTGGTTCCAAGAACACTCATAATTTTTTACATGAATATAACGTTACAGAAACCAAATGTCTATCTGAATTGTGCAACACTTTCCATCTACATACACTATTACAAACTGGTCGGTAATAATAATTTGTACTTGCTAAGATCTGGTCGAATCTTAATCAACAAGCGTAATAAAATAGGCTATAGTATAATTTGGTTTATATGAAGTCAGTGATTCGCTGTAGTATAGCTTAATAAAAGGTCTACCTGTATACTCATTAACGTGTGCGGAAAAGAACCACTGACAGTTGGAATGCGATAAAGATTAGTCTGAAACACGATTATTTGGGCAATATTTATCATACAGTACACAGCATGGAATATGCTTGTTTTCATAAACCCAGTTGGTGAAGAAACGTGAGATGTTAAACATCATTTCATTTCTATTAGACTAAGGCAGTCTATTTCAATTATTTGGAGCTGTTATTCCCCGGTTTCATCAGTTCTACGGCTGTGAAATGTTAGTAGGGAAATTACCAGTTTATGTGATTTTAGAGTTTTTACAGTTATAATATTTTATCTTACCAATTCACTTGCTAGTTGAAGTAGACCCATTAAATAATCATCTAAATCAACATGGAAGCCATCTTCTTTTGCTACTTTCACTAAAACGAAATAGATTTGTAAAAAGTATTCTATTTTAACCTTGTAAAGAAAGCTGTAAGATTCATTTAATAGATATATGACAGCTTACTTATGTCTGACGGTCTCTTTGCTTCATCTTTCTTACGGGATATATTGTGCTTGTACCATAGAGTCATGGTGGCTCAGTGAGTAAGATGTTGGATGGCTAACCTGGTGGTCCCGTGTTCGATCATGGTGTTGGCCGAGAAAGTTCATCAGAAATTTTCTGGGGAGGTTCCTTCATGTCAGTGATGCAGGACAGAGGGCCTGGCAAGGAACAACATATAGTCGTTTGGATGGGACGTGCACGTAAAAGAACCCTTGGCTTGGCAGTTGGAATTTGATACAAGAGAAGGTTGTAGTGCCGCTGTCCGGGCAAAATTTCCCTTTTAGAGCCTGTATGGCGTGTGCCCATCTTCATTAGTCCAGTCGGAACAAAACAGTAGAATTTTAAACGCCATTCATTTCATTTTATTTCACACTAAAATCTAACTGTACCTCCTATAATATCAGCTGCTGTCTGTCTGTCTATTAACTGTTCTGTTTCCAAAAATATAACAAGTGCTGCTAAAAACGCCAATCTCTGTATAGCAAACTTCCAGTGATCGTGGTATCTTCAAAATAAAGAATAATATTTTTTACCAATTCATTCGAAAGGGACAAAACCATGACTATGTAAACAATTGTATGAAGAAAAACATTGGGTTTATCATTCACAAAACTAACAAATAATAATAAGTTATTAGAATGCCTCGTTTAAAGTATAAGGCACTTTACCAGTGACCAGTTGTGATCTTGGAGGTCTGAGAACAAGGTTTCAATATGGAGTTAAAGTGCACTGAAATATTTTAGCACTGATGTCATGTGAGAAAGTAGTTCAACCATGTTGAATACCGGTATGTCTACATTATTTCATTGAAAAGTTAGGAACCATGAAACTGTCAATTGGTGACACATCTAAGGTATGCAGCAGAATACTTACACAGAGAGAGAGAGAAATGGGGTTTAACGTCCACTCGACACAAACTAGGTCATTTCGGGACTAACATATGGTTTAATTTTATTTCAATAATTCACTTGCGCGTAGGGGTCTTTAGCAGTGGGAGGAAACCAGAGGATGTGGAGAAAACCCATGAGGTTGGACAGGCGACCCTACTCCTTGTCATATACAACCGGGGAATCAAAACCACACCATTTGACTCAATGACAGGCCGTATGATACAGCGTACACGGGCTAACCATTCGGTCATCCAACCCCCGCAGAATACTTACAACAACAAGAAAAATAACCAATAACTCACTTGTAATATTGATTGGCTGGAATTTTATCAGATAGGATTTTTATTTGATCTTGAACATCTTTAAAAAGTTTTCGAGAATTTTCACACGCAAGAGGAACTGAAACATAAAATGGCAGAATTAAATAGTTTCTATATCTTACCCGTTCAATCAAAGAAAAAAGCTCTGCGGATTTATCTTGTCTATATTGTGCGCTGAACTGTTTCCATGTCTAAAGACAGGCTTAGGGTACAGCATTGTATTAAATTACATTCATTCAGACATCATATGAAAAAATTAGAATCTGCAGTCATTTATTGCCTTGCCTACCCCAGATAGATTCTAATGTATTCAAAGATTCCAATTTTTTTCCCCTGCTTATCTACATTTTGTTTAGTCTTTGTATTGCTGTGGTTCTTAAATTTGTGTGTTGCCCTATATTTAGAATTCAATGGCTGCTGCCAAGCTATAGCAGGAGGGGACGTATTCTTAACAGTATTTTGTGTCACAAATACTGACTCAAGCAAGGTATTATTTTCTACTAAAATGTTCCTTTACATTGTACAGGTGTTCACAGGAACTGATTCGCCACCGTTTAGCAGTAAAAAGTAGCCCTGTAAAATTTACTGGGGACTCAAAAAGTTTTGACAAGGAGTCAATAGGCCCATCCCTGAAAGTACAGGGCGAGTGTCACAAGACTTGTGTTCCGAGCTGAACTAGAATGGAACAAGCAGATTCTTCACATTTATATAGAAATGTTATTTTTATTACTTTTATTTAAACCTTGTGGTTGATGTATAGCTTGTAATACTTTCTGTATTTCTCTTGTTGTCTGTTCAATATCTCTTACTGCAAATCTTATATCCTGAAACGTATCAAATAATTTAATTATTACACTGGTATGGTATATTATATCTTGAACTTAAGAGTAGGCCTATATTAGATTTTCGGCTTAATCTTAAGTCTTTACATTTGCATATAAATGTCCATATGTATGTGGGTTGTTTTTTTTTTTGTATGGTAGGAGTGTGTGAAATGTCTACATATATGGAATTGATATAGCACGAAAGGATAACAACACTGGGTTGTTGAACTGGGTTAGTAGTTTTTAAATTAAAAATGACTAGCTATGAAAAATAGTACCGGTATATTACGGCAATACTATATACCGGAAAACACCGGAAAACAACCGGAAAACACCATTTTATACTGAATACCGGAAAACACCGGAAAAACACTAAATACCGGAAAACACCCTAAATACTGGAAAACACCCTAAATAGGTAACCCGGATCCTGGTCCTCTGTGTGCGGTTTTAGACCAAGTGAGCGCCGATGAAGGAAGGTCAAGGTCATTACGATGTTCATTTTACAAATAGCCCTCCACCCCCAAAAAAAATTTCCGATTTTTTTTTCTGTCACAAAAAAAAAATGGAATTTTTCTGAGAAATTGGTTTTACAAAAAAACATTCCGTAGAAAATAATCTTACAGAGAAAAATACTGGAAAAAAATTTTTTGAGAGAAATTTGGGAGAAGAAATTGTTTAAAAAAATCTGAAAAGAAATTTTTCTTTGACCGTAGGCGATCGCTCGCTTGTATGTTAATGAACTTATTTCATCAGCGCTCACTTGGTCCAAAACCACACACGAGGACCAAACTCCGGGTTACTAAATAGCTACCGGAAAACTTAGAAGAGTAAACTGTGCCCGAGATTTATTTAGAGAGCGCGCCGCTCCAGGAGGGATCATCGTCAGGGTGGGACGGGGGTGGAATTGTCCAGTCACGTAACGAACATAGATCTTCCGTTCCTCAACCCATATTATTTTCAAAGTCATTGTCATAATCACAAATTACGGGACGATATACGAAAATGCATGTTTACTTTGAAATAGTGCAAATGATACTTTTCCAGCTACAATATTCAGATCAAAGGATGCCAATTCTTATACAGTGCAGCATAATTTGTGCAACAGAAGACATCTCGAATATCGATTGTCGGAAAAAAAACCATTTTCTCAGGGATATTTTTTTTCCGAATACGCATTCGGTGTAAGTCTTCAGCCACCAGGATGTGGTTAACATAGTAATGTTTTATTACGATAGTAGTACATAAAACAAATTGGTTGCCCGAGGTTCTCGGGGGGGGAAAGTAGCCTCATCGGCTAGAGTCCTCTATTTCACAAACAAAAACAACAATTGCTTCCTTGAAAATTTATCGATCAACCCTTTTCAAAGACGTCCAGCTTAACACTTCCCATCAATGCAGTAAGATAGAATGTGTAGTTTTCTCATGGACAATTGGGCGAAAGTTGGGGTTTTCTCTGGTCAACAAGTTGGGGAAAAAAGCTTGAAAAGTAATCCAGAAAAAAATCCTGTGTGAGGCCTTCGGAATTTGATGGAATATGTTGAATATTATTATAGTTCAAGTGATTATATTTGACCCTGGAATGAAAGTAAGCTCAGAAACAAGTAGATTTTTAGCCCTTCCAACGAGATGGATGGCTCTTGGAAAGGATAGACACTTTTCAGATTACAGCCTGTCCGAGAATTGCGTGGCATAGCGGTTAAACCTGGAACTTCAACTCGAACTATTCAGAGATTTATTAACTCGCTTTTGATGATACTTGCTGTTTTTTGTTATCCAGGGAGGAGTTGGCCTAGTCGTGCCTTCCACGAATTCGTACCACCCTGATGCCAGCGTTACTGGTAAGAATCAGGAGACCAGCGCAACCAGCATATAATGGGGCCCTCCGAGGGCAGTGTTTAATCTACTGAAATACTGAAACACTGAAATCTACTGAAATTTACTGAAAACTAAAATTAAAATACAAAATAAAATATGGTCAATGATGGAGGTAGACTGATTGCGTCTTTTAAAACATTCAAAACATAATAGGCATACAAAATTTGGAGAAAAAAAATTGGAAATTTTTTTTTTGGGGGGGTGGGGGTGGGGGTGCTATTTGTAAAATGAACATCGTAATGACCTTGACCTTCCTTCATCGGCGCTCACTTGGTCCAAAACCGCACACAGAGGACCAGGCTCCGGGTTACCTATTTAGGGTGTTTTCCGGTATTTAGGATGTTTTCCGGTATTTAGTGTTTTTCCGGTATTCAGTATAAAATGGTGTATTCTGGTGTTTTCCGGTTGTTTTCCGGTATATAGTATGGCCCGTATATTATCAAATATCCATATAATATTATTATTATTATATGATGAGTAGAAATAATGGTGGATTTCCGATTTGTGGTAAATCATGCTACCTCTAAACAAGTGTGTTACAATGCCTGGAACTAGCCTGTCCTTGGTTCCTTTAGGAATGGTCTGACATCGTCCTAAACTGGCTAAACTAATAGCCAATAATAGGATATTATTTGTTGACATTTTGAGAATAGGATAGATTATAGATGGAGTGATGGAGGAAATAAATAGGATCATTACTTCTCGCAGCTGTTGTTCAGCTTGTAGATACCCTTGTAATTCAGTAAAAGTTGCTGTCAATGTATCAGACGGATCCATAATAAAATCAAATTTTGCAAACAAACAGCTAAGCTTTTCTTAGATTAAAAAACAGTATTTTATTTCACGTGAATATTATGACCGGAAGTACTAACCTAAAAAGCTAGTTTCAGAACAGTTTCGTATATCATTCGGCGAACTGAGTTCATTTAGACAAATATCAGCGCCATGAAAGAATTTATTAATAGAGATTAATAAGTCCATTGGGCTTAGAAATAATACTTTAAAGCTCAAAATAAATGTCAAAATAAGTTTTTATGTAAAAAAAAGAAACAATATGGAAAGGATCGCCGTTACAATTAATAATAACATTGGGAGGGTTGCACGTCTTTAATCATTAAAAGACGATGTGTGGCGAATGTATAGTGCCATGACAATTACTTCAACAATCCGAATTCGAGTTGGTTGACTAGCTGGTTTAATTCTCTCAACTTCTTCTCAGATTACCAGTGATAAATGTGATATAATCTATCCTATTGTTATTGATTATGACAAGTCTGCTTTTTAATCCTAATAAAGGACCTTTGACTCTTGATCATGATCGTAAGTATGATGACAATAAATCAACAATAAAAAATAAAAACATTTCTTAATGGGTATTGATTGGGGACTAATTATTGTATCCATTATACTGTTATTAGTGTTTTGATTGACATTCTTACAGGCTAGTGTTAAAGGAGCTAAATCGCTAACATCTGGGACCTAGAAATTGACAAAAGTGGGTCGCAACGCATATAATACTGTAATATGAATGTATATAATCTGATTTACATTCAATGGTTTCCGTTTTTACTCCAATTTCAAATCAGTTATGTTCGGCGAAATAAGTCAGCAGTCTCAATTGAGTGCAGATTTCTAGCGTCTGGTTATTCCAGTCTACATACGCCGTTTGATTTGGTGCAATGTGTCTAGCCTCGTCCCTCGAGTCTCTTTTTACAACTGGGGCTGAAGCGCATTATGGTACACGATTCGTGTATCAATGGTAAAATGTTTATTTTGTCTTAAATATTGGATATCAAAAGCCCATCTTATTCCGGTCACAACATCAATGTTGATTTAATTTGACAAATAAATCGTGTTTTCAATGTTGAAGATTTTGGATGATATAGAGTTAGAGACTTAGCTACTTTAACAGAACGAAATGAGTCAGTTATTAGGGAAATTGTCAGTTGAGTGTCAATTATTAGCACCAGGTTGTGTGTTGGGGTATCTTTCGAAATCACCCAATCAGTTTTAAACTACAGTTTGAGTAAAGGGAGTGTCTATTTTGCCTGCACCGGCAAAACTTCCGTTTACGCTATTTTGCCGTTACTTCCATCACTTCCGTTCGACATGTGCTGTTGGGCAATTCTTGATATATTCCACCATTTTGACTACTCCGTCTTTCAAGTTCGGCGCAGAAGCACGATTTTACGGGAAAAACAAAAAACACCGACAGTCTTAGTACTTAAATTAAAAACCCAAATCCGCAGAAATGCACCCTCGACCAAAATAGAATAATATTCTAAATGCTTTTCTACTATTTACATTTATTATCTTATTTTCTTTTAAATGTTTCTACCATAGAAATTCAAGAATGGCTATTTCGTCCCTTTATAAGAAACGGAGAAAGAAGTAATGCTAGACAAAAGATGAATAGAACTGTTGGATTAGGGTTAGGGTTTAATGTCAGACGGCAAAGTAGCCCACGAGTTGAAATAGCTGGCATCATTGCCAAAGCGAAAACTGCTAAGTGTCAAACGGAAGTGAAAATGAACCAATCAGAGCGCGACTGCCGGCAAAATAGACACTGCCTTGAGTAAATTAGTTATATGAATATGGCTTAACTAAACTCTAAAGAAGCAAAAGAATGGTAATTAAGAAAGTGTGTTGTGTGTTATGTAGCTCTCTACCTGCACTCGAGAAGGCTTTTTTTTAAAAAGCTGCCTATTCTTGGCTATCTGGAGGGGTCGGCTTAAAATCGACATGCATAATTCTCGAGATCAAAATAGTTAAAACTGGTTTGTTTTATGTGTGAATACAACACTATCCTGTCTTAAAATCCCCATCAATTTTGAACTAGTTTAAATATAAGCATCTGAATGGGCAATAAGGGACATGAACAAAGAAACAAATAATAACAGTGATCCATGGTAAGGCTGATAAGAGAACTTTGGTCTGGAACAAGGAAATATACTACAGTACCTTACATTTTTGGTAAAGTAGACATGAATAGGCTACATCTATCTCCAGGTTATGCTGCAATTTGTAAGTGGAAATATGAATTGTGTTAACAAAAAAAAATATTGATAGATTTAAAAAGTTTTACAGCTGGTACATGTAAAAATTGTCATCAGCATGGATGCATGGAGGTTCTAACTTCAAAGTCTATTCTTGCATACTGGTTTCAGGTTTCCAGAAATAATAGGCTGATCAGTAATGCCACAATGTTTTCCCAAATTATAAAGGGCATGTTACATGAAATTAATTTTGTATTTACACATTGTTAACTTTTGAAGCTGTGTGTGAGTGGGATATTGGGGACAAATTAAATTGTTCTTTAATCTTAAGTGGCGATCCTTATGCTTGTCGTGTACTGTTCCAATTTTTTGTTTGTTAAATAGGACAGATAAATTATTAAAGTAGAAAAAATATAAATTTTGAACTTTTGCACTGCATTAGATTTGACTAGAGATTTATTATACTAGAAGGCTTCATTTTTAATATAGAAATAATTAAGTGTCTAAATTATTTAAAATTCTCTCTTTATATGATTGATATTGTCCAGTCTTACGAAGACTATATTGCTGAACAGTTATGGTATTTACATAAATCACCTCGTCAATCTCTTCTAGGAATTATAGGTACGTCAAATAAATTCATATTCTCTCTAGCTAGCTAGATTAATCTTTTTGTTGTACCTTGCTCAGAATTGTATTTATAGCTAGAGATTATTTGTCTGAATTTTCATTTGCGATTAAATTTTAGTTACTTCAGTGTCGTTGCATGTTATGTTTAGTAGCACTGCTTTTGTTATTATAAATGTAATTATGAGTCATCAGATGTTATTTTGTTGTCTTCAAATATTTGCTGGACTTGGTACTTTTGTGTATAGATATTGTAATTGCACGTGTTGTCCTTTGAAACTATCTGATTTGATTCCCCCCAAATTTGTTAGTTTGACTATTCCATTCAGTTATACTGCACATGTATATTATAGAGCATTTGTTCTAATATGTTGTTTGTACAGTGTATGCTTTTTATTTGATATATTTTATTTACATTTGGTCCGAAAATTAAAAGATTGACCAAAAGAATCAATGACATTTCTTTTTAAAATATGGTATCCAATATTGAGTGTCCTTTTGTATACACACCGTTAAAGATCTGTGACAAAATAAACTATAACACATATTTATGAAAGAATAAATACCAATTTGGCCAAATAAATTAGTAATTGTTCTTCCATAAGTATGTGTTATAGTTTATTGCACTATCAAGTTATTAAATTCTACTAAAGGATTAATATCTGTAACACAATGTTACTGTGAACAAAAGCCGAGACAACACCCTTAATGAATTTTACTTAATTGCTGTTTTTGAAGTCCTTATTAAGATATTTTTTGCCTTGAATTAAATTATAGCCTAGGTAGAAGATTACAGTATGTAGGGCTGCGAATCGCTTTTCAGTTGACTGAGATCTATCAGTAAAGCTTAATTATCATATCAATAATATAGTAGTCTGCTCAAGTTAGTGGAATAAAGAAGTGTGTTTTATTAAGAGCCAGATTTTTCATTAAGCACATGTTCTATGAAGCACCTGTATTATGTTGTAAATATATAGAGCTGACTATACAATAACTCATGTTAATACACCATACACGGTTGGTAGGAAACATCATATACACATTATGATAACATACTTACTTTGAATTTTAACTGGTTTTAAACCTTGAGTTTAAACCTTAGTTCATCACTGGTTAGATCATATTACTGACTGTGTCACTCTTGTTTTTGTCAAGTTTTTTTATTTATTTGTTTATTAGATCAGTGACTTTTAAGAGGAGATAATAAATTGTGTTGTCAAGTCAAGTTATATTGTTTTAGAATTCCAAGTATGGATATGAATAGCTTTTATGGAATGGTTAAACCTTTGTGGGGATCTTTTGTGTAGAAAGTCAAAATTATGAAATCTAAAATTTTCGAAACTTAAATACTTTTTAAATCACTTAATTTGCTATTTTGAATAAGGGTAAATGATTGTTGTGCCTTTGTGGTATATTTTGTATGGAAAGTAGAAAGTTTGAAATCTAAAATTTACGAAACTGGAATACTTTTTAAATCACCAAATTTTTTCTTTTGAATAAGGGTAAATGATTGTGTAGGCGTAATTTCAGTTTTACAAAAAAAATCAAAGTATGTCATCATGCTAATTTAAAACTCTAGATCAAATTTGGTTTAAAAAATTCAACATGTTTTACAGCGCAACCGAGAGATTTAGCTACAGAGAGACGTATCATGGATGTTCCAATGCATCTGAGAGATTTTCGTTACCATGGGTACCCAGAAGAAAGTTTTCAGAGGCCTAAAATATCTAATAGTGAAGAACAAAAGACCAGGAACAGATTTGGAGGAATAGATTATTTATTTAAATCAAGTAAGCATAAACTTTGATTTAACACAAATATTCAGACTGCGACATTGTGATTTTTGTTGTACCTGACAAAATGTCAAACAATAAAAAAAACGTAGTACCAGACATTGTTATACACCCATATTACAATTTGGTTGTATATTGTTGTCACCCTCGTCCCTCGGTCCGTCTACAATTTCTTATGAATAATGTACAGACTACGATTATTATCCAATCTTTTAAAGTTATATATGATGTTCTTAACATTAGTAATATGAAGAATCCTAGTGAAATTCACCAAGTTCTGTTATTTGCTTCAAGAGTTATGGCCGTTGTTTCCCTTTGTAGACCATTGTGAATGCTCTAATGGCAAAAGTTACCATCCGATATGTATAAAATTGATATGCATTATTTAAATCAGTAACAAGAAGAATTCTATTGAATTTCAGTAATTTCTTTTTATAACTTCAAGTTAACTTTGTTCTGGACTAAAAATATCAATAGAAACACTGCATATGGATAAATCAGTGCTGGACAAAATGACAGACACTAGAGGAACTGTACAGAGCTTTGTTTCTTCCTGACAATATCTGTGACAGGTGCCTTGCAGGATTGAAAATATTCTAAATGTAGACGAATTAAATTAAACATACATTATGCAAGAGCTAAATCTGCCTATTGCAGGTCTTTCTTTAGCCCTGAAATGTTATCTAAATTATTAGACATTAACTAACTTATCCAGACCATAATCAACTCTCAATGTCAATGCTCGCCTGTGATGTTTACTGGAATAGAATCCCATTTGCTGCTCCACTTTCATTCTTGATTTAATCATGAAATGGATAATCAAGACTATGTTTTTTATCGTACCGACTTTAGTAATGATGATCAAGGCTAGGCCGAAAATTCAATCGCTAAAATCTCGGTTCAGAGTGGAACAATTTGACTGAAATTTTCAGCAAATTCACTTTACATTATCTAGTTTTTAACTATTATAGTGAGAACTGCCAGCTCTTCATCTAATATCTCATAATGTATTTTTTAATCTCCCGACTTCAGAAAATTTTCCTTTCCTTTACAAATTACATCCATAGTGGAATTTATTCACAATGAGTTATAATGCTACTGATTACTGTTAGTCTCTAAATATCTGAAAGTAACCCAACATTAGCTGAACAGATTTAAAGTTACAATTTCATATTTTCTAAGAAAGTCAAAACATAATTATTTCTATGTCTTTTGCTCAATAGGTTGTCAACTCACTATTATATGATCATAGGTTATCTTTCTCACACTTAAAAATCTTCACACCAGAAATGATAACACAATTACCTCCCTTGTTTTCCTATTCCGCACCATGGAATAGCTCTCTTCAAACGTTTGAATTTGAAGTTGAAAATTATATTTTTGCCAATTTCTCAACTAGCAATAGTAAATTATAGGATTATTCTTTAACAAGGTAGGACTGTTTATAGATCCATCTATTTTAGGGCTTTATTTTAATACATTTTAAAAATATAACTTAAAAATATGAAATTGTAACTTTAAAGTTACTAAGGAAATCTTAAAGTAGATTTTATTTATTCAGTGTTTAATATTAAACCAAATACTACCATGGGGTCAGAAATACAATATCCCAGTACAAAGAGTTGAATAGCCCCAAGTCAATCATTGACCGTAATTTAATATAATGTATACAAGTTTTCTGAAAGCTGTCTATTCAATTTTTATTCAATTAAAACATGTAGTATTGTGGCTTTTACACGTCAATAATAATCTTATATTACTAGAGGCTTTTATAAAGTGAGAATATTTACACTATATATTGTATTAAAATGTTTAAAGAAAAACTCCTCTTTATTCACAACTGATCAGGTATAAGTTTAAAGCACATTTTGATTTCAGCTCAAAGGTAGTATGTACAGTATCAAGCAATAAATGTTGTCTTATAGATGCATTATAATAATAATAGTTTATTCGCACTTACGGGGGGTTGGATGGCTGAATGGTTACCGTGCGCGCACTGTATCATAAAGTCTGTCATTGAGTCGACTGGCGTGGTTTCTAATCCCCGGTTGTACGTGACAAGGAGTAGGGTCGCCTATCCAACCTCGTGGGTTTTCATCGGGTCCTCCAGTTTCCTCCCACTGCTAAAGACCCCTATGGGCAAGCGAATTATTGAAATAAAATTAAACCATATGTTAGTCCCAAAATGACCTAGTTTGTGTCGAGTGGACGTTAAACCCAATTTCTCTCTCTCTCTCTTTATTCGCACTTACATGTACAAGCACGAATATGGAAGTTACAACAAACATTTCACATTGTGATGCATAACAATATCAAACTAAATATCTTACAAAATAACATTAATTTTCAAGACGTGTGGTACATATTAATGTTGATGTAATCGTCAATATTTAATGTTACATATCACTTAACAAAGCTAAATATATATTCCACTTTTCTCAAAGGCATTCAATACAAAACTTCCAACATTTTCTGTGAGATTTAGAAAAAGAGCTGATTGTTCTTGCTATAATAGTTTAAAGGCTCAATACCACTCTATTCTGGTCAACAAATTGTACTATTTTACAATATTCCAATTAATTGATGATACAGATTTCATCTTAACACACATAATTTAAAAAAAATGGAAAAATTTAACAATGATTTGAAAAGCCTGACGTAAAGCTTTTCAAATACCGGTAAACAGAGTCTTGATTATCCATTTTTAAATTAAATTATTAGATAGAGATCGTGTTTCAATCCATTCAAAATCATAAGCGTCCGATGGTTTAGAGAATTAATAATTTATATAACTTTTAAGGCCAAAAGAAAGACCTGCAATAGGTAGATTTAGCTCTTGAATAATGTATCTTTAAACATGCATTATGCAAGAGCTAAATCTGCCTATCGCAGGTCTTTCTTTAGGCCTGAAATCTTATCTAAATTATTAATTAGACATTAATTAACTTATCCAGACCATAATCAAATCTCAATGTCAAGGCTAGTCTTCGATATCGACTGGATTAGAATCCTATATGCTGCAAACGCTCATTGATAATTAAATCAAAACAATGGATAATCGAGACTATGCTTTTTAAAGTACTAACTTTAGTAATGATGAACGAGGCTAGGCGGAAATTTACAAAGGTGATATCTCGGTTCATAGTTTTTAACTATTATAGTGAGAACTGGCAGCTCTTTATCTAATCTCCCATAATGTATCTTTAAGTTTAAGATGTAAAGGTATTTTGTTTTGTAAATAGAGTACCAAGCAATCAATGTTGTCTTAAGGTTATGACATAATGTTCTGTATTTGCATGTGCTATGAGAAAAAAATTTCCAGGACAGTGGCAATTCTGCCTATCCTTCCTTAATTCCAACTCTCATTTACAAGGGTGGAAATCAGTTTTATGCCTTTCCTTGCACCACTGGGAAACCAGGCTGGAAAATCCTGAGGAACTTTCTCTGCCAACACAGATCGAACCTGGGACCTCTGGGTTTGACAGCTATACCTATGGAGCACCACAACACCGCTATTTTAAGACTAGCATTAAACAAGGTAATATATATGAATAAATTATTTTTATAATTATTACTTTTAAAACAGATGCTGTAGAAACAAAGAACACTACTGAACAGAATCAAGAAACGAATAAGTGTAATTGTTCTGATAAGCAAAGAAAGTGTAATTATTCAGATAGAATTGGAAAGTGTAATTGTTCTGATCAACCCAGAAATTTTAATTGTGCTGAAGGTAATGAAAGATATCCACCACAAGAAGAGACACTGTTTGGTACTAAAATACCAGTTGTTATAAATAAAGATCCGCCAGCCCCTAAAGTTAAAGAACATTTTGCAGAAAAAAGGTGAGGCACTTGTTTTATGTTGTGTACGTCTTCTAAAAATTGGGGATCACGTGGCTAAGTGGGTAAGACGCTGGCTCGCTAGCCTGGAGGTTGGGTGTTCGATCCCTGCATTGGCCGAGAAAGTTCATCCAGATTTTCCGGCGTGGTTCCTCCTTGTCAGTGATGCAGGACGAAGGGCCTGAAAAGGACAGCTGTCTAGTCCTTTGGATCATACGAAAAACCGAGGTCCTGTGTATACATTGGAATGCACGTAAAAGATCCCTTGGCAGTTGGAATTCGATATAAGAGTAGGCAATAGTGCCGCTGCCCGGGCAAAATTTCCCTCATAGTACACTGTATGGCGTATGACCCGTCTTCATTAGCCCAGCATAGGAGCAGAACAGTAGGACGTTAAACCCCATTTCATTTTCATTTCTTCTAAAAATTGGCTACCTCTCTATTTCGAATAAGATCTTGAATATCCAGTTACTATTCTGTAATCTCTTTCCATACAATCATCCAAAGCGAACATTTACAGTTAATAGATAATCTGAGTCCTGTGTACTTCATATAAATGCCATTGAAACAATTGCCAAATGGAGTTTCATGTCCGCTTGAGTTCATTTTTTCATGGAATTGTATGCATGGATATAATTTCACCTCATTTTTCTCGTATATTTTATTTGTGTGTTCAGTGATATGTGGAAGGATTGTTATAAGGATTGTTTTGTTTTTAGGCAGTTTGAATTAGAGAAGATAAAGAGAGAAAGAAGGGAAGCCGAGGAAGATATTAAAAGATTTAAAGAAGAACAAAAAAGAAAATTACAAGAAGCAGCTGAAGATAAGAAGAGGGTAATTGAAATCATTATTTACACGTGTTCCTTTATCTAAAATATTAAGCAATATAAAAAAACTTTTGGTTCTCCGATTATGTATAAGTGAAAATGACCCCCAAAAACTGCTCTCGTAAGTGATTAAATTATCCATAATGTTTTCAATTTTGTATGAAATCCTTTAAATTTGGGATTTGATTTGTAGAATGTGCATATCTATATATTTCCATGCCAACCGTATTTTGTAATATTGACAAAATACATTCATGGCAGTGATTGGTATGACCATTTTTGTTAAAATTTCAATTATCCATAGTTTTGTTACTTTTTTTGTGAAAACATTTTAATTTTAGGTATGATTTTTGTAAAGTATGTATATTTCCTTGTCGGTTAATCAATACTTGTCAGTGATTAGTAGGACTGTATGTGATCAAATCATGCCATTGATGCTAAGACTTAAAGTAGCTAAGTCTCTAACTCAATATCATCCAAAATCTTCGACATTGAAAACACAAATTATTTGTCAATTTAAATCAACATTAAAGTTGTGATCTTACCGGGAAAAGGCAGGCTTCTGATATCCAATATTTAAGACAAAATAAACATTTTACCATTGGTACACGAATCGTGTACCATAATGCGTTTCAGGCCCATTCTAACAAGGGACTCGAAGAACGAGGCTAGACATTCAACAAGTCATGTGAAACGGTGACGGCACTTCATATCGGGAGAGTATGCGCAATAAATACTATGTAGACTATCATTTGATTCATTCTGACATATTTCGCCAAACGTAACTGATTTGAAATTAGAGTAAAAATGGAAAGATTGAATGTAAATCAGTTTATATATATTCCTATTACATTATGCATTACGACCCATTTGTGTCAATTTCTAGGTCAAAAATATTAGCGATTTAGCTCCTTTAAGTTCTACTGGATTTCAGTTGAAAATACATTTTGAGGCTGCAATAGATGACCTAGATAAACATGAAGGAATAAACATTTAAGAATGAATTAAATCCTGCCTATGATATTGAAGCTTAGAGTTTTAACCTTAATATAAATATTATTATTGTTTTGACAGGAATATGAACGAGCAACCAATTATTATATCTGGGATTCTAGAGCAACCGGACACGGAGCACCTAAGGTAATTCATTTATCTTGGTTTAAACATAGTAACTGAATTATTGAATAATATAAACATAAGATGAATATTGGCTGTAAAACAAATCCCAATAGATTTCCCCCCCAAAATCAAAAAATATATTTTAAAAAACGTCTCCATTAGAAATTTTGAGCGGTAATCTTAAATGTTAAAACTGTAAATACTAGTAGTAAATAAACTAATGTACAATTGGTCATGTCAGTATCCTATAAAAATTGTTATTAAGTCAAATCATTATAAAGACTGCAATATTTGCGATTTATTGATCAACCACTGTTACTATCTAAGCTCTGTTGTATCTGATGGATGATTTGATTTTCAGGGAGATGGAGATAATAGAAAACAGAAGTTTATTGAAGAAGAAACCACCCCAAAAGATTCTTTTAGAGATCAGGATTCATCGGTATGCAGTTATTAAAGTTCTTTTAAGAACATTTCTATCAGTCCCTGTAATATTTAGCCTAGATTAATTTCATTAGATAGGTAAACTTAAAGATAAAATTCAATTTTAATGTTATAGCCTTACCTAATTCTTATCATTGAGGTAGGGGGGAATCACGTGGCTAAGTGGGTAAGACGCTGGCTCGCTAGCCTGGAGGTCGGGTGTTCGATCCCTGCATTGGCCAATCATTCAGATTTTCCGGCGTGGTTTCCCCTTGTCAGTGATGCAGGATGGAGGGCCTGGCAAGGACAGCTGTCTAGTCGTTCGGATGGGACGAAAAACCGAGGTCCCGTGTACACATTGGCGTGCATGTAAAAGATCCTTGGCAGTTGGAATTTGATATAAGAGTAGGCCGTAGCGCCGCTGCCCGGGAAAAATTTCACTCATAGCACACTGTATTGCGTATGCCCGTCTTCATTAGCCTAGGTTAGGAGCAGAACAGTAGGACGTTAAACTCCATTTCATTTCATATCGTGTATAGGTAGTTGTTGCATAAAGAATTAGGCCAAGTTAATTTTGGGTCCAAATAAATAAATTGGAACTAGGATACTGTTCCGTTGTCCGGGCAAAATTTCCCTCTTAGCACACTGTATGGTGTATGTCTGCCTTCATTAGCCCAGTTGGAACATAACCGTAGGACGTTAAACCCCATTTCATTTCATTTCTAAAATTTATTTTGGTTGTCTATCCTGAAAAAACTTTATTGGTTTTCTAAGGTAATCACAAAACTTAATGTGAGTGTATGTTTTGTTGCCTGGCAACCTGTGTTATTATTGTCGTATAAATTTTGATATTGTATTATTTATAGTATCAAAATAATAACTAATATTTTATCAGGAGGTTAAAAGAGCTTTCCTATATACTCCAAAGGTAATTAGTTTTAAATCCAGAGTCAACAGCACTGCAACCTGCACATCTTATTATAGCACCATATTATCATTAATCATCTCCAAGTGTCCTCTTTCTGATACATCTTATTTCTATATCACTTTTTAAGACTGGCCACACTCTTCTTACAGTAATCTTATGCATTACAATCTTTGCATTTAAAATTGTTTTATGCAATACATGCATGTTTAAAGACGATATCTTCTAGCGCATTTTGTAAATTACTCCAGGCTTGCTATTAATTTCATTTTTCAGCTTTTGTAGCTTGATATATCTTGCAACTTATTCATTATTTCTCTTTTCATTCATATGTGTGTGTGTGAGTTAGTTTTATTTAACGTCCGCTTCCACCGAGGTGATATCGCAGACATATGTTTGTTTGTTGGCCTTATATAACATCCAATATTATTGTAGTACACTTTTATTTACATTGTGTATTAAATCGGGGTGAAGATTCTGTATTATAAATCAGGGTGGATATTGTGTATTGTAAATCAGGGTAGATATCGTGTATTGTAAATCAGGGTGGATATTGTGTATTATAATTTATAAATCCAGGGTATATTCACTGTATGTTTAATGTTTGTGCAGAATACACTTGCAATACCAAGTTGACTAGTGTATATTGGTCTTTACAATAAACACTTTTAAACATTGTATATTATAATGGGTGGTCTTTGTATATTTACATGTAATATTATACAGTAGAAAATTGATATATTATGACTGTTTTGTGACTTCTATATTTGTATTTTTTGCTGGGCAGTTGTGCAGCACTATCTATTTTAGCATTTTTTTCTGAAGGAACTTACTATTTTAATTTGTTTTAATTTTATTTATTTTATTCTATATTTGAATTAAGTCTTATGTCGAGTAAAATAAAGTGGTGTTTGTCATCTTTTAGATATTTCTTATTTTGATCATTTTAAGGTGTGGAGACCCGATGGATTTAATGAGAATATAGGAAGACATGGGGGTTCTGGTGCTCCACTTAGAACTGATTCTGGGTCAGCTCAAGCTCAAGTTAAGATGCACCCCTCAATACATTTCCAACCAGATAAAGAAAATATTCCACAGGCTTTAAATGAACAATTAAGATACAATCAAAATTCACGTCAACGAGATCAGTACGGTCAAGATTTACGTAAGTATCACAATTTTTTTTATTTATTTTTTGTATAACAAAGTTCCATCGAAAGGTTACTGTGTCTAAAAATAAGTTTATAAAAAGGATATTCCTTTGTTTATATTTACAATTTTGAGAGTTTAACAATAAAGTATCGGATAATTTGTTAACTTAAATGGATAAGTAATATCTCAGTTTGGGGAATTGGCTGACCGAGTGGTCCAACATATTGGCTTTAGGTTGTATGGTCTGTCATTGAGTCAAGTGTTGTGATCTCAGTTTTGTATGTGACTTGGAGTAAGGTTGCCTGCCTAATCTCATGGGTTTTCTCTTTGGTTTCCTTCCAATTATAATGATCCCTGTGCACAAGCAAATTATTGAAATAGAGATATAACGTATTACCTGGTCAGTGTAATGTGGATGTTAAACCTCATTTCTCTCGCTCACAATTCATTTATATTATCGTTATTCCTGACTGTCAGTTTTGTATAAATATCACCCTTGCTGGATCCCGATGTTAGCCACACAAACAAATGAACAAACATGTTAAGCTAATAACAAGAACTTAGGAATGTATGTGTTGTTTGGATATAGTTTTAGTTATTTTCCACTGTTATCAAATCCATGTAAAATATTTATTACAGATTATAATTTTTGTGTTATAGTTCCTTAGATTATTTGTGGGGTTGGATGGCCGAATGGTTAGCACGTGCACGCTGTATCATAAAGCCCGTCATTGAGTCAACTGGTGTGGTTTCGAATCCCCGGTTGTACGTGACAAGGAGTAGGGTCACCTGTCCAACCTCGTGAGTTTTCTCCGGGTCCTCCGGTTTCCTCCCACTGCTAAAGACCCCTACGCGCAAGCGAATTATTGAAATAAAATTTAAAAACATGTAAGTCCTGAAATGACCTAGTTTGGGTCGAGTGGACGTTAAACCCCATTTCTCTCTCTCTCTCCTTAGATTATTTATTTTTAAGGCAGGTTGGATGGCCAAATGGTTAGCATGTGCGCGCTGTATCATACGGCATCTCATTGAATCAACTGGCGGGGTTTCGATTCCCCTGTTGTACGTGACAAATAGTAGGGTCACCTGTCCAACCTCGTGGGTTTTCTCCAGGTCGTCTGGTTTCCTCCCACTGCTAAAGACCCCTATCATTTTTTATCCTCTAAACTTTAATTTATATATTTCTCTGATTTATTTAGGTTATTAAATTTCATTATATCATATAATTATATTGAGCAGAATTCTTTATTATTTATATTGAATGAAAATTCTGTTATTTTAATGTATTAATATTATATTTCAACCATTGCGAGGTGTAGAAAGAGATTAAAGATAATTAACAGGTATAACTATATAATCTAGTTATTACAGTGTGTATATGTATATATAGTTTATACTTATATAACAAGATTTGGCAGGACTTGGAACTAATGGTAATATTGTTTGGGTTTATGATGTGCTTTGATAAAAATTCTGAGGTGATGTTAGACAAGTAATTTTGATGATATAATATAAAGTAGATTACTAATTAGAATGATTTTTAAAAATAGTTGATTATGATACATGAGGTATTAAATTATGAGATTTGCATGTGTATGTTACTCTAGTTCAATTACTAAATGCCATTGAAACAATGTATATATGTTGGTACTACCATATAACAATTGTTTATAGTAAGTGATGTTATTGAGAGATGAACAACGGGTATTACTCCAGAATATAACTCAGGTACCAGAGCTTAAACTGTTAGAATCTCAAAATTATATGCATTTTCAACAATTAGGATAACAAAAAGGCTGATTTATGATGACAATGTTTTCCAGCTTGTATAGATTGATTGCTTCATTAATATGTCTACAATATAACTAAAGCATAACTTCCTGTTTGTATCCCCTCCTTCCTTCTCCCCCTTCCCTTTAACAAACTAATATAGACTCATTGATTTATTTGTGAAATGAATATAAATGATTTAAGAATCACCTGTTATGGTACTGTAATAAGTATGATATGTAAGTAAGAATGTCTAAATAAACCAAGGTATGCTAAGAATTTACCACACAGCCAGGTATAAAGCTCCTGTACCTGGAGTTCGTAGTTCGTACAACCAAAATGATAAAAAATCTCAATGCGATTTAATGATATAAGCGGATTATTATCAATAGTGATCATTATTAAGATAATCAGACCCATCGTGACCTGCTGATCACCGTGATTAAATATTAATATCTTGCGGTAAACTCCATAAAAATAACCCCAAGTAATGAATTCAACAAAAATAGACTATATAGTATATAATAGATTAAAGATTTAATCCAGAACATAGATTTGAGTACAAATGCCACATTGCTTATCTAAAGGGTTTATGGAGGTAGGTTGAGGTATAAGATTATCAGTAGGAGTGGTTGATAAGATTTAGGTGGATTAGAAAGTTGTATAACATGTTATAACAGGTTGAATAAGTCTGTTATTGTAAATCTTACTGTAGTTAGGTTGTGATAAACATTACTTCATCAAGGTTTGATAGTTGGACAAACTGTGTAATTATATTGTTGGGAAGGTGATTTGGTGTGATCTCTGGATTTTGATAAAATATATTTGTGTGGATTTTATATTTTAAAAAAAATAAATTAATTATGGATTATCAGAATGAAAATAATGGTAGGTAATAAACCTTGTTAACCCTTTAGCATGTGGCACATGTATTGGTTAATCTTAGAGCACTAGCTATGAGCAGTCTGGATGCTAAAGGGTTAAATCAAATCCATGCATTACAAGTAGTTACAACATCAAGTTTCATTAATATCAGCAATGTAGACAGGTTCCAGTAGACAGAAAAATGGCTATTTCTCCATAATTTTCAAAAAAAAAAAAAAAATTATCTTGGCTGAATTTTGCAATTACAATTTTTTCCAGCTTTTTAATTGGCAAAAAATTTAAATATCTGTTATGATGCAAAAATGCCTGTTTACGCCCGGAATAAGGCATTTGTAACAGACATTGTCAGGGATGAATACATGCATTATTAATCACAATCCCCGATGCCTGCCATTTGATCATGCACAGATCTGTCTGTTTTCACAAATTCAAAATATCAGGCACTAGTTTATTAGTGACTGGGAAGGTGGGGTGGTCTAGTATTTAACGCATACGCATGAAGTCATAAAGTCTGTCATTGAGTCGAGTGGCGTGGTTTTCAATTGCCTGCTTGTACATGACATAGAGTAGGTACTGTTTCCAGACTCGGTTTGCTTTTCCCCAAGTTTTGTGTGGTGTTCTGCTGTTGCTTCATTAATACAAAATTTACATCTATTTTGAGGTACTGTGTCATCGCCTCAGAAATTAGAAGATAATTTGCATCTATTTTTTTTGGGAAAAAAAACATTTTCCCAATTCATATATTCATCTGTATTTATTATATTAATTTTTGTAAATTGATATGTGCTAAAGAATGTCAATTTATTCCAGCCAGAAATTTATTTTTATAACATAACTTTATCCTTAAGTTGAGTCAAATAATCAAGTAGCAAATATTTTATCTGTTTTGTTTTTTTGTAGTGAAACAAAGTCAAGAAAGACAGTTGTTAAATCAAGAAGACAGAATACGAGAATTAAAACGAGAACTAGAAATGGTAAGTTTGTACTGGTAACAAGTCAATGTTTATTTTTTTAAATGGTAAGTTTTCACTGGTAACAGGTGAATATTTGTAACTTTATCAACTAAGGGATTTAGCCAAGAACTTAAAACATACATTAAGCAAGAGCTAAATCTGCCTGTTGCAGGTCTTTCTTTAGGCCTTAAGTGTTATATAAACTATTAAATTATACATTAATTAACTTATCCAGACCATAATCAACTCTCGATGTCATCTTATGTGTCGTTTTTTTACTGGATTTGAATCCTATCTGCTGCTCAACGCTCATTGATGATTAAATCCAAAAATGGATAATCGAGACTATGTTTTTTATCGTACCAACTTTAGTAATGATGATTGAGACTAGGCTTAAAATTAAAAAACCAATATCTCGGTTCAGAGTAGAGCAATTTGATTGAAATTTTCAACATATTCTATTGATGTTATCTATAGCGAGAACAGTCAACTCTTAATCTAATCTCCCATAATGACTATTTAATCAGTGAACCATTGCCACACTCACGAGCACTACTTCTACATATAAATCATAGTTGACTAATTACAGCAATGTTTTGGATCATTAAAATTTGTTACAATATCCCATACTGCACGCAGCGACCCATCTACGTCATACTTCCCAGAATGTGACACTGCACTGATTACCCGCCATTTAAAACGGTCACGTGATCATTTTGGGGCGGGACTTATCGACTAGACACCGTTTTGTTTAGACAACAGAGTAAAAATAACCCAATCACATGTGTTTTATGTAAACACGCCATGTCGCTGACACTCGCGTAAAAGCGATATATAATATACTATTCAAAAAAAGTAGGGGATATTTGATTTTTAAGTGTTATTAAAGTCACCTAATGAAACTGACGAAGAAACAAATGACAAAATGAAATGAAGTTCACATTCATCGATTTATTCCAAATGATCGTTAGACTAAGTAAGGCACAGACTGACCATTATAAGGGTAAAATTATACCCGGGGTCAAACAGCAAAGTTACCACAGCATCACAACCACGTCAGTAACGGGTAAATCCTCCTCTGTTTGCCAAACAAGCATTGATCCGACGTGGCATACTCCTAATGAGACGTCTAAGGTCATTTTGGTCCAGATTGTCCCATTCCTGTTGCAACGCAGCAGCAAGTTCTTGGACATTGGCAGGACGTTGTTGACGTTGACGTAACCTCTGTCCAAGCATGTCCCAGACATGCTCGATGGGGGAGAGGTCGGGACTCAGTGCTGGCCAAGGTAATGTGGTGATGTTCTGTTGTTGGAGGTAACCTGTAACGATCCTGGCCCTGTTACATCTTGCGTTGTCATCCTGGAAGATGAAACGGCGGCCATGACGTCGTGCGAACGGCACAACATGGACTGCCAAGATGTTGTCCCGGTAGTACTGGCCTGTAACACGCCCTGCAACAACATGTAAAGCCGTTCTTCCAGCAACAGTGATGCCTCCCCACACCATAACAGAACCACCCCCAAATCGATCATGTCTGATGACGTTAACGTCTTGGAAGCGCTCGTTTCGACGACGCCACACCCTCCTACGTCTGTCCAAAAAATCATCAGTGAACCTTGACTCATCTGAAAACATCACATTGCTCCAGCGTCGATTATCCCAGTGTTCACGATCCCTACACCAACGACGTCTTGCCTGAATGTGATGATCTCTCAAACAAGGGATCACGCGAGGACGTCGGGCGCGAAGGTGACCCCTATGCAGTCGATTCTGAATCGTCTGGCCACTCACTCTCACACCAGTGTCTGTTTGAAGACGAGCGCTGATCTGATTTGCTGTGATGACACGATTTCTCAAGGCCAAGGTACGGATAAATCGATCCTGGGCTTGAGTTGTCGCCCTTGGTCGACCTGAGCGTGGTCTGTCCTGTACAGATTGTGTATCACGGTATCTGGACCATAGCCTGCTTATGACAGACTGAGAAACATTCATCGTCCGCGCCACAACCGCCTGTGTTGTGCCGATATGTAGCATGCCAAGGGCACGTAACCTTTCATTTTGGGTAAGCCGACGCATATTAAAATTTGTTTTCTGGTCACTAAAACAATTAAACTGATGTTTCCACCCTGGAATTCAATGCCACAATGACTGTAACATTCAAAGTCAGAGTCGTGCAAATCTTGGGTTGGACCCCCATGATGATCCCAAGCATCACCTGCATTCCATGCGGTAGCTATTGGTGCGTTTGGGCGTCACATGTAACTGGAAATGTTTCTTCTGTTAGGTTCTATAGTGACTTTTTTCGTAGTCATTTGCATATTTTAGTATTATGCCCCCAAAATCAAATATCCCCTACTTTTTTTGAATAGTATATGTGCTATGGGTAATATTGCAATAAATTCTTTACCATTTTAAAATGTCTTTAGAGTTTCAATCTGTTTATCTTTCAAAACAAGGTTAGATACTCCTAAATTTGTTTTCGCAAACAAAACCGCCTCTGTGAAATTATGTTTCATGGGCGCCGCCATATTGAATAATTAGAGGACTATTTTGTGATTCGGCTTTGATTAGTTTGACATCTTTCATCCACACAGCGGCTAAATAAACATATTTAATTTCATTCAATATGACAATAGAAGAGAAATAAATACTTTTAAAAATTTCTAAAAGCATACTCAGTGTTTTCGACTAAAATCGTCGATGTAGGAATTAAAATGTCGGTTAATTAGCTTAGGGCCTATTCTCAGCCAGAGCTAGCTGTAGATAGGCAGCCTAAGTTTGGGATGACAATATCCCTCATTTTAATCCTTTATATTTTTAAAAAGCCTTATACACGATATATTTATTTTCAGTTAAAGGGAGGTGATCCATATGGTAAACCAGGTGGTGGAGCTCCTTTAAAATCAAAATCAGGTAAATAATCTTTTATATATTGAGCTAACCAGAGAGTGACACTGAATAAAACATTGATTTCAGTGGGATGATTGGTTTGTGTATTTCCAGAGTGGAACATACAGTATACTTTGCCTAAGTCAGATTCGTTTAAGTCAGATCTTCGCTCAACTCGGATAAAATCGTTTGGACCCTTTGATCCTGCACGTTTTTCTTATTATGTCTGCGCTTAAGTTGGATTTCCTAAGTCGGATCATTGCTCAACCCGGATCAAAATGTCTGGTCCATTTGATCTACTTCCGACTTTTTTCATTCGCCTAAGTCGGATCGACAGTATGTTCAGAATTTAACTAAGTCAGTTTCATCCCGATGGTCTAAAATGCGGTTAGGTATTCCATGCACAAAGTCCCAAAATACTTTCCCTATCATTTTGACTCAAATTAGCCTATTTAGCAATTTAATAGAATTTTCCTGGAAAATTTGAACTCGCTGTCTACTGTACGATACACTTTCCGGGAAAATTTAGGAAATTTTTCAAAGATGGCGATAAAACGGAAGTTATCTACATGTGCCAAAACGGAAGTTATCTACTCGCACATACGACCAAAAGCTTGAAATGTGCTTTTGAATCAATTATTATCTGGCTCTTGCAATTTATTTCTAATCGAGCTAAGATTAAATTTCGGTCTTCGTCTAACTCTGATCTTCGCTTAACTGGGATAAAATTGGTCATTCCATATATAAATATTCACTGCAAGGACTGTTATGTGTTCACATTTTTGATTGGTTGTCCTGTTACTGTGGGCTGTAACAAACTCGAGATTGTCTTGGCCGAAACATTGTACAATCAGTATGGCCATTGTATGCTATTTTATCAAGATCAACATTCTAAGACATATGATATATTTTGTGCCAGCTGCTTTCAGAACCCTTTTTCTTTCTCTATTTTTTTTTTTTATTGAAATGAAAATACCCTATATGTTAGTCTCAAAATTACCAATGTATTGTGTCAATTCCAGTCCATTCTTTTATTCTACTTTACTTATCTCACTGTCTCTCTATCTGTCTTTCTCTCTCTCTCTCTGAATATAAAGGTAATAAAGTATTAACACGTTTGAAGACCTACCATTCAAAACGTCCAGATGAACTTTACAGAATACAAAATAGAGGTAAAATCACTGGTAGTTTTAAATTTACAGACTGATTGGTGTAGGCACTCTGGTTCTTTTGTCAGTCATCAATGCTGCAGTATTCAATCCTACTAGTTGTATGTGACAAAAAATAGAATCAACCCAAACATCTAAGACTATGTCATGCCACTTATTTGAATCCTTTATTTTTCTCCCAGTATTATAGAGTGCTATTTTGGAGCAAAGAAGCAACAAAAAATATTCCACGTATCTTTCACCTAAAATGGCCATATTACGTTGAGTGAACATTAAACATTGATCTCTCTTTGTCTCTTTCTTAATAAACATTATTTTTATACATCTACTTAATGAAATATCAAAACTTTAATTTTTTTTTTTTACTGTTTTTGTTTTCAGACTCGTTCACAGAAAGGAAAGAGGTAAAGTTTCATTAATCATTTTTTGTGAATTAGTATTTTTTTTTTATATACATATATTTTCAAGCCCTACCTTCACTTGTCATCCTGCAAAGCTGAAAAGGAATGTGTGCCTGCCTATTTGTTTGGATGGATAAAAAAAACAGACTTTCACCTACAGCTGTGTAAACATTGGCATGCACAAAAAAGAACTTTTGACAATTGGGAATTAAATAATAGAAATGCTGCTCCCTGGCAAAATTCTCCAAACTCAAATTGCACACATGAGCAGAGAAAAAACAAAATACCACATCTTGTCTCAAAATGACTAAAACATAATAAACTAACCCCATTCTATTGCACAGTATATCTAAGTATTTGTCTGTCTCATCTCTCTTTTTTTTCTTATTGACCTTTCTTCTGTTACCAGTATTTTTATCATCCTTCTTCTTCTCTTTTCTTTATTCTCTATCTTAATTTATCTTTATTTCTTTCTTCTTTTCTTTTTTCTGTCTGTCCATCTTATAGAGTGATACCTTTAAACCATGGGGACAGGGATATGGTCAGTTATATAAAGACAATCAAGGTTATCCTGTAGCTAGAGGTCTTCGTAATGTTACTTTTGAGGAAGACGTTCGAGTAGATCAGTGTTTCTGTTCGTCCAAACCAGTCAGGGGTAGTAAAAGCATTCATATTTATACCCAAAATGAGGAACCGGTTACCGCAACTGGAATGAATGCGGAAGATGACACTGTAAGCTATATTGTCAGTAACGAAAGTGTTGCTAAAAGTGATTATGAAGAACCATCACAATTTGTTAATGATAGCGAAAATCCCCAGCAGTTTGGTAACAGAAAAGAAGACTTGCGTAATGAAGAGACTACAATAAATGCTCCCTGTAGTCAAGACGATATTAGTAAGAATGCTCCCTGTAGTCAAGAAGAGGAAACTAGTAACATTCAAGTTTTAGAAAAAGATTATTTTGAATCTGAATTTGTTCCTGTATTTGATGAAAATGGCAACATTATTGGATATGTTAAAAAAGTAGGAATACTTTGATAATAAAATTATTACAGAATATGGTGACTGAAAATATTGAAACAGTATTACACTAATTTAAAGTCACAATGAGCTCATGGTATGGGCCATTTTCTTTATCTGTAATTTTTATTTCCACGGAACATGCACTTTATTGTCACCATAACAATTAACTAATACTTTTAAAGTCTGCTGATCGCCAATGGGCATCCTCTGTGCATGATATATACATGCCAGGGGTAATATCTTTTGATAGCTACGGTTCATGTTTTTTATTTTTTAAATACCTAAAATTAAAATTTAAGCAAAAATATTGTCAGAAAAATGCAAAATTTGGATCAGCGGCTTTAATATTTTCTTTCCTCCTCTTTTAAACAAACATTATGCAAGAGCTAAATCTGCCTATTGCAGGTCTTTCTTTATTGGATTAGGTTCCGATTTTCTGTTCGACTTGCATTCATAATTTAATCATGAAAGGGATAATCAAGACTATGTTTTTTATCGTACGGACTTTAGTAATGATGATCGAGACTAGGCCAAAAATTCAATCGCTAAAATCTTGGTTCAGAGTGGATCAATTTGACTGAAATTTTCAGCAAATTCCCTTTACATTATCTAGTTTTTAACTATTATAGTGAGAACTGCCAGCTCTTTATCTAATCTCCCATAATGTATCTGTAATGTATTTCATGCTTTTCATAGGTTTTTGTTTGTTTTTATTTTAGCATATAAATTTAGATCTTGAACAAGAGAAATATGTAGAACCTTATACTCCAAGACGTCGTTTGGGTCTGTATCAAGACACACCAGAACCATATTTTCCGTTTGGTCGTCCGGGTGCTGGAGCACCGTTAGTTGATATAGAGGGGAATGTTATAACATCTCTCAAAAACAAACTAGAAAGAAATGTAAGTTATTATGAATAATTCTAAAACAGTATTCGACCAAATTCTGCATACCAGAAATTCTGTCCCTGATCGAACAATCCCCTTGCGGATGATCAGACCAAATCGGCAAAGGATCGAATCCAAAGAGAGATTTCTATGTACATCTGGGGCAAACTAAATTCCCTGATAATGTTCTGTTTCCTTTTTTAGTATCAATAGTTTCTTCCGATGATCCACATTATGTGGTTGTACTTTGAAAATTTGACTCTGAAAATTACTGAATGTATATATAAAAAGGTTTTTTTTATGAGATGCTGCCTTATAATATACCAATAGTTTCAGGATTTTATTAGACTGAAAATTTTCCATACTGGTATAAGATTAATAAATTAGGTATCTTATTTTAGAAATAAAAATATGAATGTGTATATAAACAAAGATATTGACTTATAATAAGTGAATATCAAATATTAATGAATTATATATTGCAGACAACTTCAGCTGATGATAGAAGAAAGGCAAGGGCAGCTAGAGTATATTATCAGGAACTTAGTAAGTAAATTTATTTTATTAATTTAAAATGCATGAAATCTAATTAAAATTTTACTATCGCCTTATTCCCAAAACCATAACCTAAAATATTAGAAAAATACAGGATTTCTATTGGCTAATGAAGTGGCTTGATTCTTAAAATATTTTATTTAAATTTTCATGAAATCCATATTCTGCAATTTAGTTTTCATGAAAAGAATCTGAAAATAATTATCTTTTAGTTTCATTAAATGTATTTTCCAGAACATCTATTTCCCATGTTATACGATCATGTTACATGTGATACTTTTTGCAGAACAAGAAGAAGCACAGCTGATACGTAATCGACAGGAAATGGAAAATCAGTCTAAAGCACCTGTAAGTACAACCTTTTCTTTTCTTTGAATTATTAAAAATATCTCATTAGAAAAATGATAACTCAATAAAGGAGTCTTGTGGTCTAAGGGGAGACAATATGACTTTAAGGACAAAATGCATGAGTTATCTCCCCTTATAAAATATTGCTGTATTTGACTTTCAAGGAAATATTAAATAAGTCATAGTTGCTGGAATTCATGCAATTGCATAATTCTCAATATTCTAATTTTCAAAGAATTTTGATTTTTTATTTCATCAATTACAGACAGTAAGGCCTGTAATTCATATAAGCCTTTTTTGCGGTGTTTTCATGCACATTTTTGACGGATACATGGAATCGTTCACATTACATTTGTTTTATACCTAGGAAACGTGCCTAAAAGTGGATAATATGAATTTGTATCATTTATATCAAGTATTTATAGGGTTACTTTTATAATTTATGTGACATTGTTTTGTAGGTTGGTGACGTGGCATCTTTAATTAGAGAAGGTCAAGTTGGTAAACCAAGACGAGATCCTATCACGGGAACTTTATTAAATCAACATCTTCCCATATCAGATGTCTCCCATTTTGTAAGATTTTTGTTCTCTTAATAAGTTTCCCGGATTGCTACATACAAGATAATATTCTTATCTATCATTTAATACCGATGCTGAAAGTCGCAAAATGGTTTCCCAAATGAATTTGTCTTTGCCAAACTTATATATTGCATCAATTTATATGTCTTATGGCTCAATGCAAATATTTTGTAGTTAATTTATTTCATTTTTGATATCATTTTTGATTTCCACAATAAGAGTTTTTATGTATTTTGTTCAGAAAATGAATTCACAGTTTCGAGATACTGGTGAACAGAAATCCTATCACGAAGATTTAACAAAACAAGCTGATGATCGACACAGGAATCGTGAACTAAATCGTCTTAAAGATAAACAACTTTCAAAACAGGTAAGAACCCTCCCATAATAATTGTATTAGAGAGATTTTGCAATTTTACGTTTACACAGTAAAACATCATCAGTTTTTGTGACGTATGACATAAAGTATAAGTCATAAAAGTGTGGCAGGTGGATAGCAACCTCCATAACTGTAAGTTCACAACACTTAGCTAAACCTTGTTTAATTTCTATGATCCAGTCTATAATTATTCTCTCAATCGTTGTTTTCACAAACTAAATCCACAGAGAAGACCTTTTCCTCCATGTGACAAAATAAGATGAGACTGAGACAAAACAGGTGCATGCTTTAGTAATCTCATCTTCAACGATCTATCCGTGATGTAGACCTATCAAGATCGTGGACCTAGTTTATGTCCCACCTACTAAGTGTAACTGTTAAGTGTGAATTTAGCGAAACGTCATAATGTACAGTTACCCTTACACTTATCTAAATGTAAGTGTAACTTATGAAACCTCTCTAATAACTACTAATTTATTTTAAAAAAAGAAAAAAAAGAAAAGAAAAATAGATATTTAAAAATGCCCGGTCAGCAATAATTAGGTAGATATTGTGGTATAATAATTATCACTATTTAAATAAATATTTTAGCATTATGATGTAATGGATGAATATTGGGGTAGATGTGGAGGTGGAGCACCTAAAGATCCAGTAGAAAGGAGAAAAGCTGCTTTAGATAATACATTATACTCTCCTGGTAGAATGCCGGTAAGTCTTAACTAAATTATGAAATAAAATGAAATGGGGTTTAACTTAACATCTTACTGTTTTGCACCAATCAGATGTACACCAATTCTGCTCAGACGGCTGTGCTATGGCTAACTCTTATTCCGATTTCCAACTGTGCTGCCAATAATATACACAGGACTTGTTATTTTTTTCTTCTCATCCAAATAACTACAGCCTTTTTGAGCTTGCATCACTTACTTAGGGGCAACAATGCTGGAAAATCCAAAGGATTTCTTTCTCAGGCAAAACCAGGACCTCCTGGTTACAGAGTCAGTACAATATTCACTGGCTCATGGTGCTCACCACAAGATTTTTCAACCCTGTTTCTCAAGGAAAGTTTGTTTAGTCATTTGGATGGGTTGAAAAACTGAACTCCGCCTGTATACACATTGGCATGCGCATGAAAAGAAAATCTTGTGGCTTGGAAGTTGAAGAAAACTGTGCCGAAACAGTGCTGTCTGGGCAAAATTCTCTTTTTTTACATTGCACACATAACCATAATAATAATAATAACCATACACTTGTCTCAAAGTGATCAAAGTATTGTGTTGATGATACATTAAACCCATCCCATTCCATGCAGTAGTCATAAATGAAATAAACCATTTGAATAATACCACCAATAAAGCTTAGTTTATCCTCAGTTATTTGAGGGGTTGGATGGTCGAATGGTTAGCCCGTGCGCGCTGTATCATAAGGTCTGTCATTGAGTCAACTGGCGTGGTTTCGAATCCCCAGTTGTATGTGACAAGGAGTAGGGTCGCCTGTCCAACCTCGTGGGTTTTCTCTATGTCTTCTGGTTTCCTCCCACTGCTAAAGATCCCTATGCGCAAGTGAATTATTGAAATAAAATTAATGACCTAGTTTGTGTCGAGAGTGGATGTTAAACCCCATCTCTCTCTCTCTCTCTCCTCAGTTATTTAGTTCTATAGCTGATTACTGTACAAACCGAACTCACTGTAGCATATTTAAACCTTGTAATAGGAAGATAAATATGTTATATACAAAATTAAGTAAATGTGAATTTATTTTATTAACAGGAATATTACAGAGAAGAAGAGGTAATCCATTTACTTAAATAATTTTTTCTACAGGACGATTGGGGATTTCCCCTCAGTTAATGCTTCCTTGATTTTTACCATATTTATCATTATTTCATTTTTAATTTCAGCCTAGGAAGCCGGAGGAGAAGATACTGCCAAAATATGTGAAAAATGTAGTCAACAGTACCCACAAAAATCATTACGATTATTCTGGGGATACAAGTAGTCGAGATCATCGTCAGGGTGCACCTTATGCCTCATTTCGCTAGAATATGATCTCTATCGAAACTTTGGTCCATTTTGTCAAATAGCTTTTAATTTATTTTATCTAATATTCAGTCTATTTTATCTAAACTTTAATCTCTTTAGACCAATTTATCTAACTTTTAGACCAATTTATCTAACTTTTAGACCAATTTATGTACCTTCTAATCTTTAGACCAAATTATCTAATCTTTAGTGTATTTTATCTTAATATTTCAATTAGTTGTTGATGTCTCCCATTACTCTCATGTTTTGTTATATCTTTAAATTTCTAATCATTATTATCAATTCATCGGGATTTCATATATTATGTCAGCATATAACATTTAAAAAAAAAATCATGAAAATTTGCCATCTTTGTTTTCTCAATTCATTGTAATTTCATTTATTATGTCAGCATTATATAAAAAAGATCATGAAATCTGTAAATTAAGAATTTGAATACTTTTGATTTTGTTTGTTAAACTTTCTTGTTTGTTAGATATTTTTAATTTCTAGATATTTTTTCTAAAATGGCTAAAATTATATATGAAGAATTCCAGTCTATTTTTATATATTTCTTTTCTTGTTATAGTTAAAGATATTATTTAATTTTGTAGAATTGTCTGTGATATTATTATTATAGGTTGTCTTTTATTACGATGTAAACTGTGATATGTTATATATTTATACATACATGTAGTATTATTAATACCAATCTGTTGTATTTAAACCATGGTGTAAGTAATGGAGGTGACTAGCTATGGTGTAATAATGATGTTTTGTATGTTGGATTACAAAGGGGAAGTAACTCTTGTTGGATTAACAATTGGCTATTAAGGGTGTATACTATCAGCTGTTTCTGATCAACAATTTTAGGATGATAGTCACACATTAACATAAACATAGGGCAAAATAAAATAAGATCCTTGGTATAAAAAAATTACAAGGGGTCTTCTGGGAAATTCTTAAGGCCTATGTGGGATTATAGCCGGAGGAAGTAACTCTTATTTGATTAAGAATGGGATATTCAAAATAAAATCAATACCAAAGGTTTCCGGGGTAAGATTTTATAATTTATTGTGTAGATTGTTAATTACCATTAGCATTTGTCCATGACATATTTATTCATATCTTCCTTTATTTGATATCTGTCTCAGTGTCTGCCACAGACCTTACCTGTATTATGCTCCATGATAACCAAGTGTTTGGGTGAGGGTAATGGACAGATTTTCAAATCGTTCCAATGTCTGCTATGTCAATGTCTTCTCATTTATATATATTATTATATGGTATATATTTCATATTTAACTGTATATAAATATTTATCATACTAGCTTATTAAATTTTATCATTCTTTTTTTTTTCCTGTGTTATTGTTTTTTACACATATTTCTATAAATACTCATGCTACCATATACATTGTCACTGTAGTAGGCTAGGGAGTAAACAACCAAAAAATAAAACGGAGCCAAATTTCCGAGAACATCTAATACCACTTCTCACTTTGTATGATATGATGGGTGTTAGATCATAAGCTCTGTTGTTGAGTCAATTGGCATGGTTTTGATTCCCCCACTTGTATGTGACAAGGGGTGTAGTAGGGATTGGCTGTCCAACCTCATGGGTTTTGTCCAAGTTCTCCAGTTTTCTCCCACAGCTAAAGACCCCAATGAGTAAGCGAATTATTGAAATAAATTGAACCATAGGTTAGTCCTGATTTTATGTAAGATTTAGATAAGAGCTAACTATTCTGGGGTAATAGTTCCAAAATGGATATTCTGAAAATTCGGGTAAATTACTTTATTAGCGAAATCATGATTGTTTGAATTTTAGACAAGAACATCTTAGTCTCGATTGTTATTGATACGGTAATATACGAAGTGTCGATTATCCATTAGAATGGCGAGAGTGTTCTAATGGCCGAATGGTTAGCACGTGCGCGCTGTATCACAAGGCCTGTCATTGAGTCAACTGGCGTGGTTTCGAATCCCTGGTTGTACGTGACAAGGAGTAGGGTCGCCTGTCCAACTTCGTGGGTTTTCTCCGGGTCCTCCAGTTTCCTCCCACTGCTAAAGACCCCTACGCGCAAGCGAATTATTGAAATAAAATTAAACCATATGTTAGTCCCGAAATGACCTAGTTTGTGTCGAGTGGACGTTAAATCCCATTTCTCTCTCCCTCTAATCCATTAAAAATCTGAGTCATCCATGGACTAGAGAGTTGATTATAGGCTTCTCATGTATTATGCATCCTACTGAATCAAGACAGTTCAACCCATCCAACTAGGAGCAGAACAACGTCATTCATATAAATCTATACATGTATAAGCAACACTCACCATGCAACATACGAATCAAATTCATTTGAAATCCACCAAAGTGTTTAGGAAGAGCTGTTAAAAATGTGCAAATATGTGCCCACGCGTCTCCCCTATGGCGACGATCAAATTCATCTGAATAAATCTGGTTAGCCCCGCCTTAGCAACGTACCTACCAAATTTGTTTGAAACTTATCTATTGGTTCAGAGGATGGGGTCGAAAATGTAAATGGTCGACGGACTTGGGGTTCATTGACATAAACCCGACATAAATCCTTGGCCCAAAAGAAAGTACTGATTATATTATATTATATTACTTTGTTAAGGTTAATGTTTTTCATAATACAGCGTGTTAAGAGATATTTTGGCATCAACCTGTGCCAAATAAAAGTTAAATAGATTTTCTTGTTATTCAAGGAAAAGAAAGAATTAAATTATCTTTTTAAAAACAGCATTCTTATTTAAAATGGGGTTAAAACAGCAGTCTTAAGTCAAATACGAACACTGCCTTAAGAGTCTCAAATCAGCTATTGTTCTTCATATTATGTATGCAGTGACATTTTGGCATCAACCTGTGCCAAATAAAATTTGAATATATTGTCGGTGACATGGAAAAACCTCGTATCGAAAATAAATCTTATTTGGGATTCATATTCTGTGTTTAATTTTCCATGTCATCGGCTAGCTTTTATCATGTATAGTTTATCCATAATTTCAATTTGGAAACAACTTTCTGTGATCACTACAGCATGAAATAAATTCCTCGGGGTTTAGTTTTGTGTAATTATGCAGGATAAACGCATAAATCAACATTTGTGTACATATTTTAAAGGGACTATCCCGAATTGAACAGAGTCTCAAAAATAAAAGTCCGGGTACGTATGAAATTTAAGCGCCAAAATATAGAGGAATGGTGTATTTACTCTGTCTAAAAATGTCAGCTGAAAATATTGTGTCATTTGGACGTGAACGTCAAAACTGCTTATCCGGACACGTAACCCTTTTAAGATTTTGGGTCAATTCTTTTGTTGGGTGACCTGATAATCGACTCCCCTTCCTTTAGAGGTTTATACAGTGAATTTCACCTACACATTATTTTTATAAAATAAAAGTCTGGTTTTATCCAGACACCGCATAATACAGCTTGGGGCACCGGTCTCCACTTCCAGATTAAGACTGACGGATTTAAGTTGTTTAAAAAAACGTATCAAGTGTATTGAGTTAGTTGCTCGGCCCTAAGGTTGAGGATTTTAAGGGATTTTAACACAAAATTAACCAGTTTTATTATCCAAAATATTATCGGGATTGGCCCTTTAACATTGGAAACCTCCGTAAGTATAAAACAATACCCAGTTATTTACATTATTTATTGTTAACTTGTTTTAATATCTTACAACTAACGCATCAAAACTACATTTTAGCAACTTTATCCGTAAAATATTACAATCCCTGCAGATTTGAATGCAATTACACTAAAATGTTTTTTGTGATTTTTGTCTAAATCATGAAAAATGACTTGCGAGGTTTGTCCGTTCCATTAATATATTCAAATTAAGATGCAGATTAATTATCTAAAAAATAAAAATCCAAACCAAAACAAAAAACCTGGCATGTTGAAATACAGCATATTGACATTGATATTAAAGCAGTAATCGCAAGTCTATCCCTTTAAATTTTTAAGGAAAGTTTGTCAACGAGAGTTTTTATTATGATGTGTTACTTGACCTTGTATGATAACCACAGTAGGTAAGTGTGTAGGTGTATTATATGTGAACTGTCACGCGCTACATTCTGTGCAATATTAAAATTCGAAGATAAGGCTTATCTCGCTTTATTTACATATACTTATATGTATTATTACCTATATTATTATGTTATATCTATTATCAATACTGAAAAACTTATGAAATGTTTCGATTATTTATTTTTATAATGTAGATATGCTAATGGATGATTAACAATCTAAGGATAAACAATTACACCATATCTAAATGAATTATGAAATATGAATCATAAGACAATTAAATTTTAAAAAAGAAACCATTTATCATATATATGTTGAGATTAGTGTAATACGTGGGTGTGTATTCTGGAAATGTCCTGTAATGAGGTTGCAGGATTTAGGATATTTCAGTGTAATTTAATTCGGGCTTAAAATAGATTTATGTCGGCGTTTGTGAGATCATTGTGTCCGTGTGTCTGCAATAATTAATAATTCTGCATACACCACTCCATAATTAGCCCTGGTGATGCATACGCGTGAAACGTTAACCTCATTAACGTCATAATTTTCTGTGTCACCCGGGATAATAAAGGCGGGTATACATTATGATGAAGTATAAGGTTAACTCAACGTTACATGCACTTCAACAAGTAAACGGGTTGACCTCGGTTTTTGGTCCCATCCAAACGATTAGGCGTTTGTTCCTTGTCAGGCCCTCTATTCTGCTCCACGCTGAAAAATGCCGTGAAACGTTCTCGGTCTACACACCGGGATCAAATCCAGGACCTCCTCGTTAGAGCGCCAGTGACTTACTCACTATTAGCCACCGTGGCCCCTATTGCTCATTGGTTTTCCCCGTTTATATAAACCACGCAGTTACAACTTATACAAGACTTATTGTAGTTTTACTACAACCTAAAAACTACATCGATTGTTCTGATACGACTAAACAGTCATAAAACATTCACTATCACACATGGTGTATCATCGCTTAAATTTCTCTAATGTACGGAACGCCCAATATACTTACAGTCTAGTGTGAGCAATAATTTTTTTTTTTTTAGCGTCATACATTTTGATATCTTTATACACGGGGATTTGTATTAAAAGTATCAACAACTGGCAAGGCTCTAATAAGTTTATATTAATAATAAGTAAAACAATTTGCAAATGTAAGTTCATACAAAACATCGTAATATTTAATAAAGACAACATATGATAATAAGGATAGAGTTACGGAATCAAACATAGAAGTTATCAAAGAAAACTTGTGATGAAATACTAAAAATAAAACATCATATACAGTATAATATAAACACATATTAACTAAAAGTATAGGGCCAACTGTTAAGGCGCTATGTATGGATGATAATAAACACATTTCTTGGATTAAAAAGACGTTGTCAAATCAAAACTATATAGAAACTGGTTAATAATAATAATAAAAATGCGCAGTAACACAGACCCTGAAAAATATGCGCTTTAGATTTTGACTTTACAGTGATTTAGCTACACGTTTATCTATATTTATAGGGCTGGTTATTTGGTCTTCTAAATGGTGTACGTGTTTCAGTTTTTTTTCTGCATCGAGCCCAAGTTTAATGCTATTTTATAAACTGAATCCATTTTTACTCGTTTTATCTTCAAATTAGCGATCGAACGAGTTTCGTCTCCTTTGGCTTTCCGTCATGTTATGGGTGGTGAATATTTTATTGATTATGGATATCACTGATGTCTAAATAAGGATTCTTACATCATCGCCTAAATAGCTCGAATAACAAAGGACTTAATGCGGTGCACTTGTGGTTAGCTAACTTTATATCTATGCAATACTGCACATTGCAAGTATTGCAAGTTCTGCAATTAAAGCAAGAAATTCTAATTGTCATTCATTTTTAGGATCTGGGAATGACAATTCTCTAGTAAGTGAAACCTAAATCTTTTCATCACTAAAAATTCCCAATTAAGACTAAAACAAACTGAGTATTGTTTTTCAGTGGTATATGTTTATATATATATATATATATAGTACACTTGACGTAGGTATTTTAAGTGGTGAAGGATATATATTTCCGTTTTGCTGCACACTCTCACCGATAGTATTAGTCATTTGATCTAAATATGTATGTATCTGACATTGAATATAGGGAATTTGACCTTAACATAACAAGACGCATGACCGCAGGCGCCAAGGATGAAAATTTACATATTAGCCTTTTAAGGCAAACATATCTGTATTTATTTTATTTCCTTCCCATTAGTCCCTTTTGTATTTAAACCGTTGATTTGTGACAAAGATTTGTGTTGTAAAAATATCGGTCGTATATAAACTTGAGTGGTGTCTTTTATTTTTAGGGTTTTAAGCTCAAAATAAAACATCTTTCCGAAGACGTAATTAGGGCAAAAATATAAGCAACCTGGAGATCATATTCAAAAAATGTTTCAAATCCTCCTATATTCAAGGCTGGAAAAAAAACTTGCCATAGGGATATTTTACGTGTCACACCAGACATGGAAAACCGGTTTTGAAAAATCACGTTGATTCTTTGCGACCCACGCTGGAATTCCAACCCGGTACCTTATGATTGTGAGTCATGCAGGTGATCTAAACCACACACGCATAATAATCTAATGTCATTCTACACAAAAACCCCAAACTTACACGGACGTTTATATAGTATATATGTGGTGAATCGGATAACTTAGGTCTACGAAGTGTCATAAGACGTCTCTGCTTCATTGGCTATATTAAAAGTGGGTAAAAAAAAAATTCGATGAACAATTGCAACGAACATAAACCTGGTGAATTCAACGAACATAAAACATGATGAATTCAAATACTATTTTTAATAGTACTATTTAAGCGGTTATAAAATTTATTTATTATAAAACATTTTGGTCGGATTTATTCGATTTTTATATAATTTATGGTCATTTACACTGGTTTTTATTGATTTCACAGCGCCATGTTTATATGTTGTGATGACTTAAAGTAATAATAATTATGTTATAGTTTTCGTACAAGCAATAATAATTATGTTATAGTTTTCGTACAAGCCAGTCCATTCTTCGTGAAGCTTTTTTTTTTAAATACTTTAAAAAATATTTTTGACTTGGGCCCTCAAATTCTCGACAAAAATTCATATGGTAAATCTAATAAGTTAGCTATTTTAGCTTGACAGAAGTTGTTGGTGACCCATTGAGCTCTAAAACGTACTGCATGTATATGACATTATTGCTAAATAAAAACAGCTTAAATATTACAATAGTGAGTAATGCCTGGTTTTACTCTATTTCTCTAGCGAGAAGATAATTAAAGGGGTCTCTTCGATTGATTTACATTTGGTTTTACCCATATTGTCTTGAAATTAAAGTGAGCTTTCAATTGGGTTTACCCAATTTATCGAGAAATTAAAAGGATCGTCCGTCTGGTTTTACCAATTTTGTTTTGTAATTAAAGGAAACTGCGCTGCAACAACAATTAAACTGAGGTACAGATTGAATAGGTTCAATCAAATTACTTTATTCTTTGAAGTTTTGACCTGATAGTCTCGATTGTCAAGTATCATTGCTACGATAATAAACAAAGTCTCAATTATACATTTTAACGTTAAATTATTAAATGTTCCGCCGGGTGTTCTAATCCATCAACTATCTCGGCCATCCGGTAATCTAGAGATATCATTATGGGCTTATGGGCTTGTTATGTGATTAAATGTCTAAATAATAATCTATAACATTTAAAGCTAGAAAAAAGATCCGCAATAGGCCGATTTAGCTCTTACATAATGTACCGTTATAGTTAAGTGCAGATTACCTGTGAAAGCGCACAATATCCAATCTTCAAAGCCGTATCAATCCTAACTAAATTTTTAAATCATAGTTTAAATCATCCATTCTCTCAATCTGTTTCACAGAGAATTACGAGTCTAGTGATATATCTCTGTCAAAGATGACTGCCTTAACACGTGCTGTCACAGCACGCGGCGTCAATCATTGGCTGAATGGCGCGTGCATTGTTTACATAAGACGTTACTGCTTCGGAGAGAATGCTGCATTTTAGTCATTTTAATACCCATTTACACTAAATAGGAAATAATTGTTACCTACAAATACGTCAAACGCCTTTATTTATTTTTCCAATACATAAAAAAAATGTTTTAGAATTTAATTTGTCGCAGGAAAAAAGTTAATGTTTCTGGCTCATTAAGCCGCATCGATGTCATCCTTATCAGTGATTGTAGCGGCCTAGCAAATATTCACTGCGGCTCAGTGTGCCATTCTCTGTGTTGGTCTAAACATAATATAATATGGCTATTTACAGATTAATATATATATATAATAACTGACTTGTATTCAAATGGGCGTTTGAAAACCCCAATTCTTAAAATAGAGGGCCACCAAAATATCGTTGTTTTTATTTATAACGAGGTTATCTATAGACAAACAACAGTTGTTATATAACGAGCTTATCTGGCTAGAATTTCTAAAATAATATGCATATTCAGAAGGGCTGATTAATGACGACAATATATACCGACTGGTATAAGCTAATTGTTATACACTTTAAGGCATGATGGTATACGATACCTGGTCTACATAAGCCCATACTTCTGTCACACTATCAAGAGGAGCTTAATGCGTGTACATCAATAACTTAAGGTCCCATTGAAATCCGTGTGATATCTTAATTGAGAGATATACATTAAATCTTTTAGAATAATTTCCCTTTCATGTGTATACAGGTCAAAAGTTCAGATATACTACCGGCGAAGCTCAGGGCGACGTGGTGACCGCATTTGCGCCGACAAATTTTAAACTGTGTTGGATCATGATAAAGTCGATTTGTAGTAGATCTGAAGCACGAATAGAGGGTTTGAAACTGGTTGGGCATTATAATTATGATTATAGTGATGAAACAAAGTATTTTTCGTTTTGTTTGTCGCAAAAACCGAAGGTCTCACAAACTCTAAACCCATGAAACAAAGCGCTATAGTACATTGCGCCCCTGTGAAGCTATGAAAAAGAGCATCTTTCATTTGAAATTGTGTGCATCAACACAAATAAATTACATCCTATATCCTGTAGATAAAATGAATCATCTTGTTTTAAAGAAATGCGGCTTGTCTGTATTTTTTATATTTTATAACATGTTTTAACATGTAAATGGTTTCGATTCCTCGGTTGTACGTGACAAGTGGTAGGGTCGCCTGTGCAACCTCGTGGGTTTTCTCCGGGTCCCCCGGTTTCCTCCCACTGCTAAAGACCCCTACGCGCAAGCGAATTATTGATATTAAATTGAACCATAAGTTAGACCCGAAATGTGTCGAGTGGAGGTTAAACCCCATCTCTCTCTCTCTCTCTCTCTCTGTATCTCTCTCTCTGCATGCAGTATTTACATATTTGTTAAGTATTCCACTTTTTTCTTTGTCGCATTTCTTTAAGCAATTGTTCAGTTAATCCTTTGCAATATTTCTCATTTAATATAGCAAAATAATTATTTATTTTCTGGCATTTGTGGTTCTTCATGTTATGTCCGAATATATAATCCTTTATTGGCATTTAGCGATTGAGCACAATAAAAACACAACACAATTTATATGGACAACAATCACTGGAAACGATACGAGAACACGTGTCGAAACGTCGTGCTGTATGAGTGCAAACCATTTTTTTTTTTTATATAAATGTTTTGTGTTTTTTAGCTCCCGTATAACACTATTAACAATATCAGAGTAAATATAGGGGGGGGGGGGTGTAGCCCAGGGGTCCGTGGCACAGTCCGTCCCTGGAGTAAACTACTCATGTCTGACAATATAAGAGTAAACTATTCATGGGTGATATGAGTTTTATCAATAATAATGTAAGCTACAACTAGTGTGATTTAATTCACGTAGTCAAAAACAATGACAGGACATATTATCAAATGTAGGACTTTGTTATCAACAGCAAATATTTGTCAAAGTAAGAAACAATGAAACAGAATCCGCCCCCTTATGGGTTAGATCTAAATGTTAAGGCCACCTGACGATTTCGTCAAGGTCACGAGAGGTAAACAGGGCTAGCGATAACCCTAACCCTAAGTACCCAAAGAATACAGACCTAACCCTAACTCACAATACTCGGCAACAATCACGTGCTCGTGACCTTGACGAAATCGGCAGGTGGCCTTAATATTTAGATCTGCCCCCTCCCCCCGTTGGGCAAGGAGGATCATATATATGCAAGTTTCAGTTTTTTTTATGAAGTTTATTTACATTTGAAACCTGTATTATGTTAAACACATCACATTGGAGTTAAACTACCAGAGATTGGCTAAAACGTTAAGATATTGGAGAAAGACACTACAATGCCAGTGGCAGCGTTAAGCTCGAAGACGAAGGGGCAATGGTTTTGAGGCCAGGGTGCAGTTTGGGAGTGAGTGGAACCACCTGCATGAGGCGCATTTTAGCAGAGCATTAGATTTTCGCGTACAATTCCAAATTCATTTCGATACTCTTTTTCCTTATAAAACTATTTTTTCTAAAGTCTAAAACGTAAATTAGGAAACCCGTATATTGTATATCGATAGGATAAATAGATTCACAGTGCATTGTTGTAGTACGCTATATGACGCTAATGTCGAAATCCAGTTGCGATTTTAGTAAATGAAACGTTGGCTACCTTTTATGATTTATTTCATAATAATCCTAAATAGTTCCCAAACAGTCAGTGACTAAAATAGTTAAACTGTATTTCCACGTTCTCTGTAATCAGCATAGAACACGTCAGCACTAAATATACCGTTACTGACATTCGGTTGTGACATTTCATCATAGCGACCCATCTAGAATATACGCAATACGTCATCCTACTACATATTCATGATTAGGTCAAGGGTCAGGCTGACGCAAGCTTTGGATTGGTTAAATGGGCTAGCTGTGTGTTTGTTGCTTATTACGATTCTTGTACTTGGCAAGTTAACCTCGCTCAGCTGATCGGTGCGTGTAAACGGAATATAGATATTTTTACATATCCAGGAAAAGTATTTGAGTTTTAAACCAAAATGGTTCGTGTTTTGTGTAAACCTTACTCCTTACCAGGCTATATTGAGAGGCATAAAGCTAGTGAAATTATTGACAGCGACCAAGCTCGCCGCGCAACCCAAGCACTTCAAGTTCAACCTAATTTAACGGTACATGGTGATTACCCCATAACATCTCCCCCGAGATGTCAATCGGAAACAGACATGTCCTGTGATTCTGACGGAGATAGCCTTTCTTCTTGTTCTGGCGGACAATCAAGCATTCCCATGGATGAGCGGCGTGCAGAGGTAAGGTCATTACGACATATTCTCGATCAGCTGTGAGCAATGGCACGTAAAAAAAGATCGCTTTTGCGGCAAGCTTTGTTCTAGTCGGTCCGTTCGTCATTTTATTGATCATAGAGCTTTGAAAAGATTGGTTATTTCTTCATTTATTAAAATGAAATATGCAACATTCTGTTGTTGCTTATATCTATGTTTTATGTATTTTTCGGTATCCCCAACAAATCGACCCAACAAACGGTATTTTATTGCGCAAGTTGCACAGCTGATTCATGATATGAATAGGTTACTATAAATAGAACAAAGGGCAGACAATTCACTGTTGAACGACTTTTTCGGTCAATTATGTAAATGAACTAAAAAATACAAAACTTTATTAATTAGTGCGGGTTTTGAAATCACGGGTTTAAAATAAGATCTAGATCTCTACAATTCCAATTTTGTTTATAGATCAAATTTTGATTAGCTGTGTAGAGTTAATTTGAAACACGAAGAAAAAGAAAAATTGACCGAAAAACCGACGGAAATATTTCTTGCACGCGCTGAAGTAGTGATTTCTATTTAAAGGTCATGGTTTTTCCCGTAACTATTAATGCATAGTTTTATGGTTGCGTTATTAAATTAAACCCACCCACTGTCTGTGACTCTACCTTTTTTGTGATTAATTCAGGTGTGGCTATGACTGTGAGCACAGGTCAACGCTTAATTTTTTAGGCTAAACTTTGAATATATATATTTAATATACTAATACTTTTCTTGTAAAAAAAGGTGCGCAATTGAATTCTTTTACTGTTGGTTCAAAAGTATAACAATATTTTCGAATAAAATGTTGATACCTTTACCATAGCAAAATGTTATTAGTCCCTATTATTTTTTTCTAGAGATTGGAAATGCGTTTTATATACAATACAATAAAGTACTTGAAACTGCTTAAAAAACGGTACTGCCAAAAATGAACAAAGTTATATACTTCAATTAAAACAAGATGTTAATAAGATTAGTCACTTATACGCCCAATTATGACAGAGCCCCGGATTTTCGTCCTAACCTTACCGGAGAAAGCTTTATTTTTAATTCCAAAATATTAATTTAGCCAAATGTTTGTTGTCTCCAGGTAGTTCAGAGAAGAAAGGAAAGACGAAGAGAAAGAAACAAATTATCAGCTCAAGCTTATCGACAACGCAAACGAGAAGAGACACAAAATCAAGACAAGGTAAGCCACAAACATTATGTAATGCCATAAAGAGGGAAATTTTGATACTTTCCGTGGCCCTGCTTTTCAGTATGCCTCTGTTGCACTGTTGCACAGCATCCGTGTAAAACTTGAACTGGGATCAATCTGAAATATTAATTCAGCTCTTGCAACCGGACCTATTTAGTTTTCAGTGCAAGGCCAGGTAAAATCGTTTAACGCTTCGTATCGATAATATCTCTGCGCTGTTGCGTGAAATGTTTTGTTTAGCGCGTACGACTATTTGTATTATACCTGCAAGGTTATTGATCGGCTTTGACTTGTACTGGATACTGGGTTAATCGTCCGTTTCTGTCGACATAAACTCACGGTTCGTGCGTCATTGAATTGTTCAAACAAAAAAAAAAGAATTTGTTGGAAGTCGAACGAAAATTCATGGTCTACTGGTTTTTAAATGGCATAAACATGCGAAAGGTTAATCAAAAGCTTTCATCATGGAGTTTGCAAAAACATAATTGTTGACTTGCAATTCATATTTAACCAACAGATCTTTATGCTGGAAACTGTTTATGTAAATTCAATTTTTGCAGTGCTATATACGGACGACTGGTAAATCAGAGCTTTCAGCATGGAGATTAGAAATGCAGATTTGCATAAATTCCTCCCTTCCACATACTTTGGTGCAGGATGCATATGTGTATTTGAATTAAAAAGAATACTGGACAAATTGTTTATGATTATGTTTTTTATTTTACAGGTTGTAACTGATTTGGAAGAACAACAGAAACGATTACAAGAACAAGTTGCAAAGTTGGAACATGAAAAAGTGTGCGTTGAGACATTTTTAAGAAACTGTTTTCATTCTGTGCCATGGCCTGTCCGAAATAATGATAATAACAACAATGCTAATATGGAGCAAAATGCCCAGATGCATTGTTGGCATCTCAATAAACATGGTGATCAGGTCAATGGCAATATGGCGGTAGTTCCGGGTTGTGGAACCGCTAGTGCAAGACAAGAACAGAGTACGATGTCGGTGTCTAACCAGATGGTCGTATCATGAAAACCTTCCTGTGGCAAAAGGTAATCGAAACTGTTCTCAGATAGCTAAAAAGAAAAACAACAAAAAAGACTGGATGGTCGGATGTGTAGGCCTACCCTTTGGAACACAAAAGACTGGATGGTTGGATGTGTAGGCCTACCCTTTGGAACTTTGTCTACACTGGAGTTGAAACTAGACTCCCCATTGACGTTAATGGATAACCTTAGCTATAAATTTATGCAGACATTTTTTTTAATTTATAATTAAAAATTGACTCATTATTTATAGACTAATATATAGAATATTATTAGGGTTCCATTATGGTGTAGTATGAACGTTTTTATGTTGAATACATATCGTTGGTTTGGGTTCCAAAGGCGTGGTTTTGGTTATTGTATGATTCAAAATTCTTTAATATGAACTAACTATTAACAACATTCTAATAGTTCTATATGTAGATTAGATGAAACTCATCTTGGAATCAAGTGATGTTAGAAACTTGTATTATCATCATGAAAAACATTATCGTATAGGTTTTTGACAGGACGTGTGTTTATTAAAGCGATGGTTTAGGCTTTATAAGTCTATTGTGTAATAAATTTTAGGTTAATTATTGTGCACATTTGTTCATGCAAGATAACAAAGATTTTCAGCTACAATTAATCTATTAATTGAAATAGGATGCATAATAAACCATTGAACTTGTTAATTTGAATACCAGTATTTGTCTTTGTGCCGATATCTAAATTGAAATTTTAACTTTTGCCCTAATATGTTGATGTCGTGTATAATTACATTCTTGTTAGCCTTAAATGCTAATTTCCCCAATAACCACGATTTTTTTTTGTACGGCACCAAACGTTATATCTTTTTGTGACTTGTTTAATTATAACGGGTTCTCAATACTGTCGCTCGTGTACGTGTAAACCATTCTTTTGAATGCATGTCCCAGATTGCCTCTCTATGACGTAGAGGTGCTTTAAGAACTAATAACAACAGCTTGATGAAGATTGTGTGTTCCTCGTGTTGACCATTATCCACACCTTTATTTATTTATCATCTATGTGTAATTTTTGATATAAATCTATTGTTCATATCTATTGCAAGATTTTACTCTGTTGTGACATTGATCGTTATTTAAAAAGTCAAGGTCGGAAAATTGACGATGTTTACCGAACGGTTAATGAAAGGATTGTCACGAAGAAGATTGTGTATTTCTCAGTATTGTGAAATCGTTATCACGTGAAATTTGAGATACAATAATTATGAGTTTTTGTTTTGGTAAGATATACCATATACAGGGGTTTTATTTTTCACTTCAAGTTGAAGTACGGCTGTTTTTTTTAAGGTTTTTATAATATTTTATATGTGTTTGAATTCTTTCTGTATTAATTATTATATGATATGTATTATGTTGACAAGATTAAACATTAAATGTTATCACTTAAAACTTGTATCTAGTTTATTTATTGACGAGAAAGAAAACTGGGTTTTAACGTCCACTCAACATAACTAGGTCATCTTGGTACCAGGCCTTGAAATAACTGTTTTACGTGTACCTGACAAAATGTCAGGCACTAATGAAAAAGTACCTGACATTTTCAACTTAGTGCTGGACATGTATTAATAATATCAATAAAAAAGACAAATCAGCGCCGGACAAAATGACAGGCACCAGAGGTTTAGTGCCTGGCAAAGCCTGAATCTGTGCCTGACATTGTCAGTGACAGGTGCCTTATTTCCAGGCTTGTTTGGAACTAATAAAGCCGTGCTTTAATTTCAATATGGCGGTGGAAGGAAACAAGATCCCGGAGAATCCACGAGGTCAGACATGTGACTTATTCTTTTTTAACTTACAATGAGCTGATTTTGTATATATTGATTCGACCGGCAATGGTTAAGCCGATTCATTCCCCCCCCCCCCCCCCCCGTTTTGAGATTGCTACTTACAGTTGGAAATCCGAACCCGTTATACCACTCATTGTACAACTGATACGTGAGATACTTTCACACAAAATAACGATGTCGCTGGTATTGAATTTTTATCCCGAGAACCATCAAGTGAAAAGTTGATACGCTATTTTGTGAAGTTCAATAAATTTTGCTTGAACATACGTTTTGTATTCTCTTTCATAACAAGACACGATGGGAAAAGAGCAGTGGTTATAACAAGAATATTCCGGCCATTTGTCATTTGTTTCCGGAATAATATGATGCCCGACGAGTCATTAAATGCCAGACCGTTGACGTATATTTCAAACGTTGAAATATACAAAGACTGTTCTTATTATGGACCGGCTTGTACGAATACCATATTTGCTGAAGCAAATTGAAATGGTGGTGTGAAATCAATAGAAACCGAGGTATATTTAAAGATACATTATGGGAGATTAGATAAAAATCTGGCAACTATAACCGAGAATATAGCGATTGAATTTTAGACCTAACCTCGATCTTCATTGCTAAAGTCGATACGATAAAAAACATACTCTCGATTATCCACTTCATGATTTAATCATGAATGAAAGTTGAGTAGCAAATCGGATCCTAATCCAGTAAATATCGCAGGCTAGCGATGAGATGTTGATTTTGGTCTGGATAAGTTAATTAATGTCTAATTAATAATTTAGATAACATTTCAGGCCTAATGAAAGACCTGCAATAGGCAGATTAAGCTCTGTATAATGTATGTTTAAATTGGCCAGAACCTTGAGAAATTAAATGAGTTTAACGTCCCACTGTTGTTCACCAAGGCAGTCATGTACGCCATGCAGTGGGCTATGAGGGAAATGTTGCCTAACAGCGGCGTTTCCGCCTATTATTCTTTTACGTGCACACGTTGTGTGCACGAGACCTGTTTTCTTTCGTGTCATCCAGACACCGTTCCTTGCCAGACCCTCCACCCTGTCTGACAAGGGATACTACGCTGGAAAACCACAGGGAACTTCTCCGCCAACAACTCCTTTCCGTTTGTTTGATGACATTTGATTGTGTATGGTCCTATATTATATATTTAACTTGCATTCTAATATCACGGAGCTTTAAATATGCCGGATTTTATAGCTTTTGCTCCAATCGTTACAAGACGGGATAGTTCAACCTTTAACTATTAATATTTGGCTACCAGAGTAACTATAGTGTTGTACAAACCTCACGGTTCAATGTCTGACTTTTATTATTTCTAGAACACTTAGTGTCACTTCTCTCACGTTTATTTGGGAAGTACACAGCTAGCACATTTGTATTCTACCACAATAAACAGTTTACCAGAAGGGGCATGATGGTTTCTGATCGAATAGCGCGATCTTGTTGCAGTTGGTCATAACACGACCCAAAGTAAATTTGTAAATTGAATTCTGTGTATAAAATAATACGCAGAATACAAGTTTCAGAATTTATAATATAAAACTGATATTTGATTCCCGTTACCATCAAAGCAAAAATTTCCTTTGTATTGTAGAAGCCGAAGGGAATGAAAATTGTTAACTGTCATGTGATTTCGTCATAAAGAAGTACCATAACATGACGAAATGTTGCGTCAGAAAGTTCATATTGAATATTAAAATGGTTGATCAGACATCTTGCCATCAGTTTTAATTGTAATGATTGTACGACGTTTTTTTTCTAGAAACATGTTACATCAATTACCACCCGGTACATTACATAAGATGGGGTTTAACGTCCTATACTTTTCTACACTAACCAGGTACGTTACACACGGTTGTCATATTTTTTTTGGACATTGTTATACAATAGAAATTAATCAATCGAATATTGCAGGTGGTGATGCCCTCTGTTTGATACGTCACTATATCTATAATCATAGATTCTCAACAATCTAAATGAAGCTCCTGGCTGTAAATGTCACTGGCATATAATATGAAAAGGGGCATATTCTATTCATTGTCCGTCACCAAGGGCCGATCCAGAGAACATAGATAGGGCGGGGGGGGGGGGTCCAGGTGGCCTCCCCGGATAATTTCGAAAACTTGAAGCCTGGAAAAGCCATTTCCTGTGATCTGAGACAAGAATCCGGTTCTAAAGTGCGCCGCCCCCCCAATATAGATCCACCCTTGATCACACCCATAAAAAATCAGTTTGTATATGGTTAATATATAGATTTATTTGACACAAATATAAATAAAGTGATAAAACTATAAATTATATGCTTTATTTTAGAATTCATTTGGGTGACATTTTAATATTGTACCAAAATCTGTAAGACCTGAATAAAAGACACGTATATATAAGACACTTAGTTTATATATGATTGCATCAGAAATGTGAAAAACCATTTCTTTATATAGTAAACATAATGTATTTGCTTTTATATATGATAATAGAAATATAGAATAGAAAAACTTGGCACATTTAAAAGGATCGCACATACTCTTACGAGTACATAGCTTATAGAAATGAAATGAAATGGGGTTTAATATCCTACTATCAGGTAAATTTTGTCCGTACAGCGCCTCTACGGCTTACTCTTATATATCGAATTCCAACTGGCAGAGGTTTTTTTTTTGTGCACGCCAAGGTGTAGACCGGACCTGGAATTTTCGTCCCGTTCGAAAGAATATTGATATGTTGTTCGTTGCCAGGTCCCCAGTACTGCGCCACTGACAAAGGAAGGGGGTGGGGGCGCTGGACAAGGATCGAACCAACATCTCATTTACTGAACTACCATGGCTCACATAAACTTATAGACTATCTGCTGGCCATATACTAGATCCCCTGATAATCAATGGGAGTCGGGGTACGGATGTGGAGGTGGGGTTATGGAAGGAAGGGTATTACATTCTCAAATATTTCGCTACGCTCAAGTATCAGGAAAGAGTTCAAGGGAAGTCGTTGGGTCAAGTAGCAACAAAATGTGTCCATTCGTTCTTCAGGTATACAACGGTAATGCATAGAATACATCCCATGGCAGTTGAAATATTAAAAAAATTGATTGAAATGTCACTGTCTATGAAGAATTCTATTCACGCGCAATCCACGTAAGATAGCATGGCAGAAAATCTGATCAAATAAGACTTTTAACTCTATATAATTTGCTATTTTTTCAGTTTGTATAATTAGAAAGAGGGACGGGATAAAGTGTTGCACTGAGTGACTGAACCAAAAAGGGCTTCGTGGCAGTCCGTGGGAAATTATGTCATTGGCTTGAACTCCGCTGGTTCGTCAGGAAATGTGAGATCTTTCATACATTAGTGGTTGAATTTAAAAGTGACTTGCTGGGATTCGTACCTCGATTGAAATACATTATGTCCGATTGAAAAAAAAAGTTCAATCTATCTATTTCATTTAAGTTATTTTACTCGACCCGAAAATACCTCAGAATGCCTTAAATCTAATTTAATTTTCAGGTGGCTTGGTTGCAGTAGGAGCTACGCTTTTTTTCTTAATGCAGCCCCCCACCACCTCCTCCCATTTTGACGTGCCCCCGGCCCCTAAAAGGTTAATCCGGCAGTGATACAAGATACTAAATCGTAGATTGGGATATTTCAAAAGCAATAGTTGCGTCATTTTTTGAGGGGGAAAAGGGGGAAACGAACTTTGGTGTTAAATCATTTCGGAGTTCGTCACTCGAAAATTCGACTTAATTACGCAGTTGAATCCAACATCAGTAATGTACGTCAGCTATACGTGTACATGTACTTCTGTTTTGATCTCGGGTTGTTTTTGCCTTAAAGATACCTTCCCGCGTACAAACTGTGTGATTTGGTGATATATTTGGACTAAAAACATATTCAAACTAATTAAATGTCAAAATTTGCTTCAGATACCCCAAGCTATAAAAAACACGAACGCTAGATCAAAGAGATCTATAGCACAAATGACATCATATGTGGATTGTGGGTTAAGGTAATGTTTAGGGTTATCGGGAGGTGAGGGTTCTTTACAGATCCCCCCACAGAAAGCACGGGCCGTGGGTCTAACGTTTCCTAACCCATACGGGAATCGAACCCATGACGGCACCCATTCGCCTCGCAGTTGCCGGTCCAGCGCTCTACCACTGAGCTATCCCACAACAATCTAATTTAAAAGCCATCTTTGTCACCTAACTTGACTGAGAGAGGGCTCATTTTTTACAATGTATTTGTCATTACTTACTGTCCATGTATCATACATATTGAGGCCTATTTCCTGTTTAGACCCCTCAATGTTCCCAAAAATTCGATCAAGAAATAAAAACCGCTCTCTAAGTCAACCTGGCAGACAATAACCTGTTTGGTTGCCATTTAGTTATTTTTGCGCAGTGCTTGCCCCATGGCTGTTTTTTCTGGTAAGCCAGTATTTTTCTAGTAAGATTGGGCGTCTGTACTTTCCATATAATATACCAAATTTGCCATACTTTTATTGGAAATAACCACCAGAAAAATACTTTCACGAGAATGCATCTTATAACACCCCTTTAAGTTGATAAATCACCTCGCTTAATCTCCTTAGCACT